CAAAAGTCAGTGCAACAGTTTATGCCTTTGTTCCTTTTCGAGGTTCCTCTGACTAGTGGTAGGTTAGGATGCAAATGGTTTGTTCACTCGCCCAACGCCTGTTTGAAATTGCAGGACGGTGGAACATTCAAGGAGATTGGCAACGCTTTCCAAGTCAAAGGAGAGTTGGCGAACGTAATGACCTTAACTTGGCTATGCCCTTCTTGCTGGCTTGTCATGCTTCACGTAATGTAGCAACGTTTCCGATGTAGTCGGCTCAGCCACTCCATCACGTGTGCAAGGTTTACTTACCAAGTTGCTAGCTCAATGGGATTTTTTTCACAGGTGGATGACCTTAAGGAAGTCCAGAGCTCAGAGTTTGTTGTTGTTCAGTCAAGCTTGGTGCTTTGACTAAACCAATTTAGCGTTTGATTTTGCTTCCGGCAATGCGTGAGGCAATCAAGGCAGAGGCGAAACTCCCCATTGCATCATTCAGGATTGACATCTACAGCCTGAAGGACGGCTTTGCTATTTTCTTCCATTAGCCACCGTGCTACTTGACCCAACCCCTTTCACACCAGCGTCTCAAATTGCCTTTGCAGCATTGTGGTTTGCCAGTTTGCTCACGGCAGGATGGGAATTGGACTCTGGAAGATGAAGAAGCACCAGTCAATCGTGGCACGTCCAAGCCCGGCACTTGTTGTTTTGTTTTGAGCAGCTTTTGCAATGCTTCGGTTCAGATTGATGTCATTGTTTAAAACTTTCTTATGTATTTTTGTTCTTTTGCCGCCTCTGAGCATTCAGGTCAGACTGCTATGGTTTCACGATACCATCAGCGTGAGTGTGAGTCTCAGCTTTCTTGGCAACCTGCAGTGGCTTGACGGTAATGGAGTTCCGTGGTCACAGTGACAAATTTTGGCTCTCATGAGGGTCTGTTTGTTGCTCTGTCGGCTGAGGCTGTCGAAATCCAATGAGAGCACGAATGTGGGCGCGTATGTAGTCTATTAAAGTGTCACTTTGTTTGTATCACAAAATCAGCACAGTTGGTTCGTTGTGGTATGACCTTGCGTCAATGATAGAGTATGCGTTGCACGTGGACAATTCCAACTTAGGACTGAAGGGTTGACTTTTCCTGACAATCAGGTCATGCACGCAACGGGTGCAGGAGCAATGACCCAAGAGCTGGTCATAGCATGTTTCATTCAGGCGCTGCACATAGCGCCCAAGCACAGACCAAGCAACATACAGGTCCCTAAGAAAAATACTTGTGCTTGATTTTGGACAGGCTTTCCTGGGAGTCGGAGCTTTGAATGGAAAACTAGAAGAAAATTTAAGGAAAATCTGTGGAAAACTAGTGGACAAAGTTTTGGCAACTAAGGGTGCCTTTTCAACATGCTAAACTCCTTGCAGTCACGAAAAGCATGCCACCGACTTATATGAGACGGCGTAGAGAGATTATACACAAAACCCCCATCGGGCAAAAAATACTTAAACAAATATTAAGATATACAATTAACTACATTTGCAGTATGTCCTGTTACTTTGTAAGCAACGGACTTCAAATGCCAATAGCTAATCAAACCTTTGACTTTATTTGGAACGGTTTTGGCAACAAAGACCTCATTGACAGCGAAACATCTTCATCTGAAGAAAGCTACAAAGCAAACTCATCCGTTAACAAGAACACCAATGCTGAATGGAGAAAGCAGGAGGACGGATATTACAACAGAAAACCGAACGACGAAAACTATTTCCAAGAGAAAACGAAGCAACCTTGTGTATGCGATATATGCGGCTCTGCCATGAGCTGTAAATCAAACTTGGCAAAGCACAAGAAAACCAAAAAGTGCCAGAGGTTCTTGGTTTGAGTTCACTATGATTTTATGATACAAGAAAATATCATAAAATTATAATCTAAATATGTTTAATGAAAACATTGGAAAAAGAAAAGATATTGGAAAGAATGTATTACGACGTGGAGGAGGGCTTCGGTTCGTCGGTGAGGGGCGTCGCCGTGTCCATGGGGGAAGCTGCCAAAGCTCTCCTTTTCGAAGGCGTCAAAGCAGGTTGTGATGTCGTTTTGCGTGGCAGGCGTGGCACTTCCTCACATTCCCACGTGTCTGCAAAAAGTGTCGAAAGTCGTTTTGTCTGACTCTCTGACAGGCGAAGTACTTCTGCAAGGTTGTCAGAAAAAGAGTTGCATTCTCCGTGGCAGGCGCAGCACTTTGGAGACCTCCATCATCATTTTGTGTGGCAGGCACAACGCTTCAGACGTGTCGTGTTGAGTGCTTTTGCAAATCGCATTGTCAGGGCTGCGTCAAGTGGTGTCAACGTGCAAATTCCGTGGCAGGCGTGGGACATAGTGAGAGTGTGATTTTACGTGGCAAATGTAGCATTTGGTGAAGATCCGTCCTGTGTGGAATGTCATTTTTCGTGGCAAGCGTAATATTTTGCCCACTCTACACTCCACACTTTACACTTACACTTTAGATTTTAGACTTTACACTTTACACTCCACACTCTACACTTCACACTCCACACTCTACACTTCACACTTTTTACTTTATACTCTACACTCCTCACTCCACACTCTACGCTCCACACTTTTCACTTTTCACTTTGCACTCCTCACTCCACACTTTACACTTTAATACACTTTAATACACTTTACACTCCACACTCCACAATCCCCACTTCACACTCTACGCGCTACATTCCCCACTTGTCTCAACACTCCACTTTCTTCACACTCCACACTTTGCCCTTTACTGCACTGGTACGGTAACAGGGGCAAAATGGAACATTCTACAAGACTGTTCAAAAACTTGTTTCTCAAAAGTGTTTTACGTGACTGCATTCAGGTTCGTTGGTTTCTCTTGTTTTTAATTAGGGTCCGTCTTTTAAAATAGAAAATTGTTGCGGTTGTTTTTTTACTCGGGTTTTGAATTTGGAACTAGGGGAAAGCTTCGAACTCCAATGTCTGGCAGCATTTTATTATAGATGTTTGATTTTTGGAAAGGAATTTGATCGATTTTGAAATATCCCTACCCTCTTAAAAATGGAATTTGAGGGGGGGGGAGTCGTACTGAAATTTCATTTTAAAATTCCATTTTTGCAATCATGCTTTCTCAATGACCAATATTCCTCATCATTCCATGTCATTGGCAAGCAGATGAAAATTAAATACTTGCGCTTAGCTCCGGAGGAGCCAAGCAAAAATCAGACTGAAGCAGCACATGTGTAGGGATGGCATCCCTCCAAAAATTGCGCTGCCGTCATCATACTTCCGGAGCTAAGCGCAAGTATTTTCTAACCAGTGCCCAAGGCTTGTTAAGAAATGTTACTTTACAATTCCATTTGAGGGGTTGGATCACTATCCCAGGGTTTCCAAGCAAACAAAAAGTGGAATTCGACAGGTTGGTTTTGTCCCCCCCGCCCTCCCCCTCTAGAGGGGTAGGGATTTTGAAATCACATTTTTCACCACCTGCCAGTTGCATTGAGGGTCTCGATTTTAACAAAGGTGCAACTCCTTCACCCCTCACCCACCCACCCACGCACGCACCCACCCACCCACACACCGACTCACTCGCTCGCTCACTCACTCACTCACTTGTTCACTCCTTTCTTCGCCCATTGCTTCCTGTGGGCCTTGCCTGGACCAGAACCCTATCGCCAGCTCCGGATGCCAGAGAGAATGTCAGAATTGATGCCAGACAGAATGTCAAGAAGATATGCCAGAATGTCAGAATAGATGCCAGAAAGTTTGCCAGAATAGATGTCAGATAGAATGTCAGAGTAGATGCCAGACAGAATGTCCGGAAAATATGCTAGATAGAATGCCAGAATAGATGCCAGAAAGTATGTCAGAATAAATGCCAGATAGAACGCCGGAAAAAATGTCAGATAGAATGTCAGAGTATATGCCCGAAAAAATGTCACACAGAATGCCACATATAGTTCTATTTATATATATATATATATGTATATATGGTATATATGCATATGCATATACATATATGTATGCCAGATATACTTCCAGATGACATGTCAGAAATTCTGTCAGAATAGTCTGTCAAGGTGGGGGATCACTGGAAGTAAAGTAATTGTATTATGGTTTGATTGTCTTATTTGGGTGGGTTTTTTTCACCCTAAAAATAAATACCCCCGTACTAAGAAGTACTCCAGGTGTTTAGGGAGGGGGAGTGAGGTTTAGTATTGGTGGGAATGGATGATTCCTACTTGGCAGCTCTGCATCAAAAGTCCACAGGAAACAGCAGGTCGGCAGCACACTGACCATTCGAGGCATTGCCCATGGCTTGAAGGAAAGGATGGCGATGAAGAGAAAAAGGCGTCAGATACTATTCATGGGTGTTTTTTCAATGACTGCACCGGCAAAGCCCAGCGTCTCTACTTTGGTTTGGAGTCTTGGATACAGTTTGCTTGATGACGACATGACCACTTCCAGAAGCCAAATCTACGTTTGTTACTTTTTACCTGTACAATGATATGTTTGCCGATCCACTTACGAATTCTTATGTGTTGGGGCGTTGGCCACAACTGCTTGGGGGTTGAGAAGATAGGTCGGTTTTTGGCGTGGGAATGCCAAGGATCTGGCCAGTGCCAATGGATACTATGCCAGCCGCTTCACCATGCTCATGCCAAAGGCTAGGTGGCATCTTGGCAGAATTTACAGAGCTCTTGGATGAATACATGATATAGAAAGATGATGAAAGATGTAGAAAGAAAGGAAGTGCTGGCAAGAAGTAGGATTTCATCTATTAGTCCAAAAGTTGCGCAAGTTGGAGTAGTTTGGTGAAATTCCAATACTGCCGAATGCAACAATTTGGCGTTTCTTTGATGTTCTAGAGCCGAATCAGGCCTAGCATGGGGATGGGCCAAAACCGTATAAATTTTCATATTTGGGGGATTGTTAAACAGCATCCATAAACACCAGCTATTCAGGGGGATTCCAGGGTAAACTGACCCATGTCGCCATGTCTCCCAGGTATGCATCTGAGCACATGTCCGAGCCGGCGGACTATTTGGGAACGAAAATGATGGAGGATTGCATCGAGTATATGGCCACGGAGGAATCCCAGGAAGGTCTCAAGCGGAAGAGGAACCATCCCAGTCTTCTGAGTTCCAAGGCATCCAAAGCGACAAAGGCCGAAGCTGAAAAACCACTACTGGACATTGACAGTGAGGAAAGTGGCGACAACAGTGAGGAAGACTCCGACGGCAGTGAGGAAGATGAAATGCAGGTGGATTGACTGAATTTGGAAGCTTTGGGGTTCAGTCATTTTGCATATTCTACCCTGCAGGGAGTGGCCTCAGAGTGGTTTCAACCAACCCAGCGTAGGGGATACAACAGTTGCGGCACAAATTGCCATGAGGAAGAATGATGTTCAAATTCCTTTGGGAAAGTGTGGAGCTAGAACAATTCAAATCGCAAAAAGCAGGCCTTACATGGTGCATGAACACTCCAGTGAGCAGTACTGGTAGCAAGAAAATAACTTGACCACAGGAAAGATAATGCATTAAGATGACCGGAATCACTGCAACTGGCCACGTGCTTTTCTTTCAGATAGAAGGGGCATTGTTTGAACATGGGACCCTAAAATTCATGTGCTGTATCAAATGTCAGTAATAATATATATAGTAACAATCAATACTGAAAATTGTTATTGACAATCGATATTAACCATCGATATTCACAATTAAACTTAATAATCAATATTAACAATCATTGTTGACAATCAATATCAACAATCAATATTAAGAATCCAGAATGACAATCAATATTAACAATCAATATTGACCATTAGTACTAACAAACAATATTGACAATCGTTATTGACAATTGATACTATCAATCAATATTAACAACCAATATTAACAAGCAATATCAGCAATAGATATTAACAATCAATATTAATAAACAGTATTAACAATCAATATTAACAAGCAAAATTAACACTCAATATTAACAAACAACATTATATAACAAACAATATTAAGAATCAATATTAACAAACAATATTAACAATCAATATTGACAATCATTCTTAAAAACAATTTTAACAGTCAACATTGAGAATCATATCTTCCATCTTTAGCATATTATGTTTTAAAACCCTCCAAGAGATGGGACCCTCCAAGAGAACTGGAGCCATCGAGGACTGGCTATGTGCTCTGGACACCGAAAGCAGCCGTCAGTCTGCGAAGCTTCTCCGAGGTCGCACGGCCTGTGTGGATATCACCGAGGACCGGTGGTTTTTTAAGAGCAGATTCCCAGCTGAGACATGTGGAAAACTATGGAAAACCATGGAAAAACTTGGGAAATCTAGAGATTTCACCATGGAAAACTGAATTTTGGCATGATATGACATGTCAGAGCTGAAGGAACACATGTGTTTTTAGACACTTGGTGAAGATATCGCGTACATGATTTATCCCTTCGTCAAGCCCATACGAAGTGGCTGAAAATGAGGTACTAACAGGACATTTTTGGCATCAAACCATCAAGTCAGACAGACTGAAATGGGGTATGGGTCAACGGGCCAAACCATGTCAAAGCCAAGTAGTCCCCACAAAATTGGGTTGTTATTGGCATGCGGCTGATACGGCGCCCTTGGAAGGGTTGCCAATTTTGAGATGTGCCATTTACGATCCCTTGGAAGGGTTGCAAGTTTCAAAAATGAGGCTTGCGGAAATGGGGGTATAGGATTTGATTTTTTGAGTTTTTATCATGTTGCACATGCTGTCGTATGATCATCAGGGGGGGTGGGGGTGCGGAGTGGGGAGGGTGTATTAACGTTCTTGACGAGCACTTCCTTTACGTTACGGAAGATGCACACGTTGCGCATGCTGTCGTATGATCATCAGGGGGGGCGGGGGGGGCGTATTAACGTCCCTGACGAGCACTTCCTTTACGTTACGGAAAATGCAAGCGTTGCACATGCTGTCAGTTGTGTCAAAGATTGTCCCCACAAAAGGTTCAAGTTGGCCCAAGTCAACCACAAACAAAATATCTTTACTAAGACTAAGACTTATCATTTTCGAGGTCGTTTGTGGGATAAATCCTATAGAACCATTGTTGCTGGTACTCCAACAAATGGATGGAACATGGAAACACTTGAAAAAATGGCGACCTCCGTCGATGCTCCACAAAAAAAAAAACGTGTACAAAAAAAGGTACACTTGGGCCTACAGCTGGACATGGCGTCACAACGCTGCCTTGTTGCAGACTGTGGCTTCTGCGTTGCCACAAGCGCTCTGGCACCGCTAGCGTCGAGAAGAGGAAAAAACTGGAAGAGTGAATGTCGCCCTGATATGATTCGGATGATTGAAAATCATAAAATTTCTAATGTTTTTTTTTGACCCTTGAAGAGCAAAATCGAGTCACCGCGCAGGCGAAACGCAAATTTTCACTCTTGAGTCACACGCCTGCCAATCGAAATGAATGTCCATGTTGCAAACATTTTTTGACGACTCCTGCAAATACCAGCATTTTGTCTCTTAGCCTCAAAAATCAGAATTTCAAATTCGTCACCCTTACAAGGGCGCCGAGTCAACCGGTTGCCTTGTTATTCACATCCCAACACAGATGTGTTTGGGTCAAAATTGGACCTGCAACCTTTGCCATTCTTGGTTCATGGTAGGTATGAAACATTCTTAAAATAATTTTAAACTTTAAAACTAAAATCAGATTGAAAACCATCCATGTTTGATGGGAATATATTCGGAATATCTTGATGAGGAGACTTTTAAAACATTGTTCCAGGAGACCTGGCATGGAGTGGAGCACCTTCAAGGCTTTTGTTCTGTAGTGGTTTGCACTTCATTGTTGACTCAGGCGTGGAGTTGTGGAGATAACTGCTGCGGTGGCTGTCCCCGCATGTGTAGGGTAAATGTTGAAGTACTTTAAATGCAGCCATATCCTTTTGGGATCATTGTTCCATTGCCAAGATGTGCTGGTGTGAAGCTGTCAATATGTTTCTTATTGCGTCAACATGCGTCAACGTATTTGATCTCCAGCCTTGAATTTTTGGACGATCAGCTCCCAATATCACAGGTGGGCTATCGAGAGCCTTACATTTGGGCTGATGTCCTACAGGGCGCAAGTCAAATTCTGGAAAAAGGCGGCATTCTTCTGATGTACGATACAGAGACTTGGACAAAATTATCGCGGTAAGGAGGGATTTGGGATGCATGTCCAGGCGTCGGTATGTCAAGACCTGATTTTTTTACACTGCAGAGGGAGATGTTGAATATTGTTGAATCCAATCACTGATGTGATTCACAGTCGATGCTTTGCAGCTGCTGACTTTTGGCACGTTGCAAATCGATGCTCAAGGGCCTTGATGATTTGGGCCACAGGACGTGCAGACATGGATGAGATAGATGCTCATATGATGCGAGGGAGATATGTACACATGATGCCTATTATCAGAAAATAAGAGAAAGAGAGAGAGAGGATTGTGGATCAGACATTGGAATCATATGTGTGATTGTACCAGACCCTCTGGGACATGACAAGTACCCAGGAAGATAACCCAGATATGCCACTAGTTTCAGATCGATACTGCATATATAGACAGCTTAGGGCCTTGTTGTGAGGCTCAAAATAAGTGTGTTTGAACCGACGTCAGGAAAAGTGGGGCGACTTTGGTGACGTGGAGAAGATGAAGGACCATCTAAAACAGGCCGAGTTGGATTTGGAGTTGATTGAACGAGAGGAACCAGTGGATTTCTCGGATGACCCCGATGGTCGAATGTTCACCTTGGCCTTCAAGAAGACCGGAGCATCACAACAGAAATCCCTGCAATGGTTGATCCAGAAAGCCGAGGACTTCAAACAAGCAGGCAATAGAGCCTTGTCTTCTGAGGGGTTGATGATGTTTCCGACATGTCCCAACCATGTTGCCACGCCAGGTTTTACAAGGGAAGCATGATGCCGTTGTTTATTATGTTTTCATCATGAACGAGTTACGTTTTGAGGGGGTTACATACAGTACCTCCCAACGCGTGAGGTAGTTATCATGCGTTTTCATAATGATTGTCAAACGGTATGTATTCCCATTGTTCCGTTTCCAAGCGGAGCAAGATAGTAGTCTTTATATAATGAGGATAGGGGCACCATTCAATAGGGATACTATTTAGAAAAGTATGGTGCCAGACTATCATTCAAAAACCTCCAAAAACTTCATATTAATTCTGATATGAGTTTGGTAAGTTTTGGACTTTTTGGAATGATTTGGAACATTTTGGAATGTTATCGAAGTTTTGATTTTGGTTTTGGGAATGATTTGTTTTTTGCTTTTTGTGGAATGATCTGGGATTTGTTGGAATGATTTGTTTTTTTGGAATGATTTGGATTTTTCGGGAATGATTTGGATTTTGTTCGGAATAGTTCGAAATGTTTGGAACGTTGTGGGCTAGTGTTTCTTTGGAATTGTCCAGAATGTTTTGGGTTTTTTTTTGTGAAATGTGGTTTTTGCATTGTTCAATGTGTGCTTGTGTTTAAAATGTTTTGGGGTATGTTTTGGACGTTTTCCTAATTTTAACAGCGTCAGGATGTTCAGGTAACCTCATTGAATAACCCTGTGGAATAGTAACCCTGTGGTTTTGAATGATAGTTCATGATAGTTCATACAGAATCGGCTAGATATGGCTAGATGTTGTGGGATTTTCATGTCAAAATATTCCCAAAAGGTTTGTCCTCCAGTTCCAAGCGTTAGTGTTCTTTTGAGTACTGTATTTGGGTCCATCCCTAGGCTATTATTCCAACCTGGCAAAATGCCGCGATGCTCGTGAGCAGGGGCTCCACTCCAGCCCTCGCGTCGCTTCTTTGTGGAAAGCTGTGGCATGCTACGTCCAGGGTTTGGACTGTTTGTCTTTGGCTCGAAGCCAAGGAGATGATGAACGCCTGAATCATATTTCTTCAAGGCTGGATTTCAATGATTCAAGCTAGGGTTCAGGCTGATGCACATTCGGATGGCGGCAGAAGTACCATGGAACAATAGAACATATGTTTCGCTGCACTCTTGTGGCCAAAGATGAACAGAAAACTGCAAAAGGTGACTTTAGACTTAACGAGTTAGTATATCGGCCACACTTTGCAGGCTGTACTCAAACCTTGCTGCAGTATACATGGAGCTTGCTGAGACAGCTGGCACTTACGAGCATGCCAATCGTGTCATTGACTTGGCACTTGTTTCTTGGCTGTTGCAAGACTTTAGCATGTTTTACCATGTTTTACCATGTTTTGCCTGGTGTGGAAAGTTTCAGGTTTGCTGGATATTTGTGATAGGTACCCTAGTCATCCCTGATTCCTGAAGGTTAAAGTGTAAGAAGACGAAAAACGAAATGTTTTCTCTTGGCAAAACCAGCCACCTTTCGCTGCAGCCAAAAATGTTGTATCAAGCAACTGCATACACGAATTTCAAGTGCATACATCAATATTATATAGTTATATAGTTATATATATATTACATTATTATATGATATTATATGATATTATATGTACAGTGTATCTGCAAAGATGCTCAACGCATCTCAAGTTGCAGCGCTTTGTTTTCACGGGGCTGTGACTTGCGAGGTGTGTGATCCCGACTGGGACCGCGCCAAAGAGCGGAAAGAGAAGATCCTGGCGATGATCAAAGGTCAAGAGCGCGACGAAGACGAAGATCCCCGAGGATCTTGAAGATCCCGATTTCCTTGAGTTTCTTGAAAAAATGGTGGAAAACAACGGGAAAAAACATGGAACAACAGAAGTGAACAATCAATAATAACAACAAGTAATAGTGAAACAATATGATAATGTTAATGATAATATGATAATAATTGTCGTTTTTATTATTGTTATTATAGTGTTGCTATGTCATATTGTTATTGTTGTCATATAAGTGCGCGTCCAATGGTTGATCATTAGTTTCCGTTTTCCCAAATGGACATGGCCATGTAGAAGGGTATATCCGGATCTCTTATCTTTGGACGGGAAAAGGGGCATAAGTCATGCTGGTACTCTGTTGGATTTTGCAGGTCACCCAATTTATTGAGTTGAAGCTGTTGTGTGACACACCTTTGTAGAGCGGATAGGTCAAGATTTGGTGGACTCCTGAAGCAAAATCCTCCAGTGACTTGATGAATCTTGGTCCGCTGGAGTCTATCACATCTTCAAAAAAACTCGCAACTAGGACACCAGCCAACCAGAGCTGCGTCCTGCAGGAAATGTGGGTTTGTCCAAGAATGGGGTATACATGGGTATACCGTAGATCCACTGCAGAATTTTCACCTTTTTTTCAAAAAAACTGATTTTTGATTGCTATAACTCAGGGGATCTCGGGGGAATGCTGGAATGCCATGGAATGCCCCATTTTCACACCCTACAGATTTAACAGAAAGCCTTGGACGTGTTCCAACGCTGCGGCCATGCGCATGAGTTCGGCACAGCTGCAAGGCGCCGGCAAAAAAGGCGGATGCGAAAGGGTAGAAGGATCATTATGAGTTTTGCGTGATGATGATGTTGTATAACACAACATAAGATACTGTACATGAATTGTACATAATACATAGAGAGAGAGAGATAGGTATTGCGGCATAATTGTAGTATATATTATATATGTGTTCTTCATTTTTCGCGTTTATACTATATATAATTATACGTATTAAATTTTAGATAGATTGGCCGTTGGCCACACCTGGCTGGAAATAGCATATATTCATACATATACAATCTATCAGAAAAATAAGAGCATCATCATATTTGCTTGATTCTGAACTCAACACACTGATGTGGCAAAATGGTATATGTAGGTAAAACAATAATAAACCATACTTGTTGGAATTTCCTCTAAAGGATCAGACAACCGGGTTGTCAGTTTCTGCTTGATTCTTTAGAGATTTTCGTTTGTTCATTTGCATGGATTCATGTTCTCTATAAAGGCCACCTGGTCCTGATTCTTTAGAGAACCGTGTTTTGGAAGCATATTTGGAAATGTTAGAACCCTAAATTGAGTTTGTGTTTTTTTCGAGTGCTGGCCAAAATATGGCTCAAAAAGCGCAACAAAACCAACCCTGGACATGATAAGAGGAGCAACTTTTTGTATAGATTCATACAATAACTCCGTTTATCGTTTTGCCGGGCATAGCAAAATACAGAGATTAGAATGTGGTAGGCAATTGTTTGGCTATGTCGAGGTGTGTTCCTGGTCCTGATTCTTTAGGCTTCATAAATTTTGGTGGCACCTGGTTCTGATTCTTTAGGCACTCTTCCATGTCCCTGCAGCTAAGGGTTCCTATTCTTTAGAGATTTTGCCTTGTGCCACAGGGCGTCCCACTAAAGAATCCAGACACCCGGGTCAGGCACCGAATTTAAAGGGGTATAATTTATAATCAACCATCCCAATTTCACCATAAATAGATGGTATAGACCATTCCCAAATGGCTGGTTTATTATTGTTTTACCCACATTAAGTGGTTGTATCCATGGCTTCAACATGACCGGCGGGCCGTTTCGAGGGCTGGACGTTTCGAGCTGAGGCCTCAACAATCCAGGCTTTGGCGACGATGATTCAGAACGCCTGGTGGCAACGCCTGAGTTTGCTCCGCGACCAACAGATGCAATGGTGATTTGGGGGAGCAATAATATCCAGAATTTGGGGGATTGCAAATCCACAATGGGGGATGGTTTATTATTGTTTTAGCATGTTTTAGCCACATTATCAGATGTGCAATGCTGAACAGATCTGAACAGTCTTAAAGTCGCAACATGTTTTCCATGTTCTCCTTCGGCGCTGGCTATAGGGTTTTTCATTGTCGGGGCCAGGTCTGGGGGGGAGCCTGAGAACGGCAACGCTCCGACGGAATCTCAGATTTCAGCAACATGAGGCTTCTTTTGATGAGATATGATGAGATATGGTGCTTTCCTAAAATGGGGGTACCTCTAAATCATCCATTTATAGATGGGATTTTCTATTACAAATAATCCATTCTTGGGGCACCCTTTATGGAAAACCCCCCATATGATGAGTGACTAAGTGGGTGAACTTGGTGAACTAAGGTCGCTACCATCAGTCACAAGTGGTCCTGCGTTGGCCAAGGGCAGTCCTTCAGGCGCACATGGTAGCAGGTTATCCTGCAATAGTGGAACTAGCTGGGAAATTTTTAGTGACCTGGCAAGGACCTCACTGTAAATGATGATTAGTACGGGAACCACCCCAAATTATTTCTGATCTGGAAACTATATCAACTTGCCAGTACTATTTGGAATGCTCATGATTGCTTTGTTGCCTTCATACTCGCCCTTCCTTTGATAATGTTTGCTTTTCCATGCTTTTCCACAGCGTTCAAGTCATACCACCGTGCAGCATGGAGATTCGGACTGCCCGAAATTTCCTCATGTTGGAAAACCTAGACTACCTACCCGTGTATGTGTATTATGTGTATTATATGTCTATTTATACGTATGTGCGTGTGACATGTATGTGAATAATATATATATATACACAGTACAGTATATATATATACTATATGTACATGGATGGACATGTATATAGTACATGTACATACATGTTTGTGTATCTATCTATGCATGCATGTGTTGCTAATTACAATAAATGCATTTCGGATTATTCGTGCTGTGGCAAGGAGCCACCCCCTCTCCAGCACCCCTTCCTTCTGCTGCCGTTGAAGGCCCAGCCAGGGAGATCAACTGATTGATTCAACCAACAAAAATGAGGGGATAAACCCAACTTTAGTAAGATTGGTTACTACTGGTTCAGAAATTGATGCGAAGTTCCTCCTTTTGTTGTCCGTTTGTTGTCGGTTCAAAAAATCAATATATGGCGCGTTAGGAAAATTGCTGCTTTATTTCCTAACCAACCATGTGTTTCTGGGATGTTATGGGTTTGTCCTGGGCTTGTCCATTTTAATGGTGGATTATGGGGATCAGCAAGCATGGTGATATGATCGGCATCCCATGATGGGACGGTGTTAGCCATGATGGGAACACCTCTCTCAATTGCAACTTCATTGGGGGGTTCAACCATTGTTTGTTTTTAAAGGACCCTATGTTCGGGCAAAACCCATAGGTGCTTGAGATTTATATACATTACAGTTTCGCATCCGGACATGCTACTATCAGATACCGTGTGTTCGCCTGGATTTGCCATGCTTTGCAACTCGGGTACCATATCTTTTAAATGTCCACATGCATTGCTGTTGAATTATTGCAGATTTGTCCATTTGTTTAATATGCGTTACCGTTTTGCACTGCAGCCCAGCACATTTTGTGTGACAACCTGCAAGGCTCTGCGGCATCCGCACAATCTTTGCGGGAGAGCTTTGACGCAACAAATGCAAGTCTCCAGCGAGTTGTCACAGAGAGCAACACCAAACAGGAAGCCACCAAGTCATTGAATACGGTGGCAATGATCCTGAGCAATTTCTTGAAAGATCCTAGTTCTGATCGAAATCGAAAGGTGAATACGTCAGGTTCACGGTTTAGCGAGATCTTTCGAAACAACAGCGCAGCTGGTGAGTTGTTGAAACTCGCTGGTTTTCAATACCAGCATCCCAACTTTGTCTTCAATGAGACTGGTCAGATCAATGCAGAAGGTGCTCAGCGCACCTTAGATTTGGTCCAAGAAGCCCAGAGGAACATCGACCAAACCTGGTCCACCCGTGGGGACCGTCCAGCCGCAGCCCCAGCCGCAGCCCCAGCCGCACCAGCTGCAGCTCCGGCTGCAGCCCCGGTTGCTCCTGCACCAGCTCCAGCTGCGGCGCCGACGCCCAGCGCCAGTTCCAGTGCTGAAGCTGCACGACCCTGGGCACCACGTCAACCACCACCTGGGGCGCCACAAGCTTGGGTGAATATGACGCGGGATATCAATGAGGATCCCCAACCGCCAGTGCAGGCCCAAGCCCAACCAGCTCAGGCGGGTCCAACCCCAGCACATCCTGCGGAGACCTTGCCTCCTGCCATTGCTCACCCAGCAGAATCAGAGGCCAGACCCATGGCGCAAGCTGCAGCACAACCAGCGACGCAGCCTGCAACCCAGCCACCGCAGCAACCCAGCCATGTGGCACCAAGTCAACCGCAGCATCATTTGCCCATCGCTCATCCCGCAGAAGCAGCTCCAGTTTCAACCTCAAAGTTGAATTGATTGGGAGATTTGGGAGTGTATTCTTGCAACTGATGCTATTTCACTTGGTGCAACAAACACCTGTTGGATGGAGAATATCCCATCAATATCCCATCATTCCAACCTCAAGGTACACATTTCTTGCGGATTTGTTTTGCAGTTTCGTTGATCCATCCCAATGTCCGCTAGATCTCAAGTAATGATGGTGTAAATCCACATTCTTGGTCAAATCAAATCGGTTTGTTGGTTAAAACTATGTTAAATCTGTGAGCCATTTTTGGCTGCTTAGATATGCCTAAATCCTGATGTTGGGTTGGTGAAGTCCTATTTCAATCCATTTTTTGGTTAACCCATCTTAACCTCGACACGGGTGTTCAGGCTGGTTATCTCCACAGATATCAGATATTGGAAATCCATGGAAATCCCCTGGCCAATCATGTACCATGAAAAAGAACAGCACCTAAGGTTGGCGAGGTGCCATCAGCTCCCGAGGTTGAGGAGGTAGAGGAGTCGCAGCCACAGAGCGGTGGCTGAGTGCAGCTGGAGTGCCAAAAAGGGTGGCCTTGGGTATTCTGACCGGGATTGCTGGGAGCCTTTGGATTTTATGTCCAAAAATGTCCAAAACCTGAGTACTTTAACTCAAAGCAGATAGAAGTTGAATGTTGTTTTTCTCTGCTTGACATCAGCCATCTGTCAAGCAAAAACCCATAAAAAGCAAATCTGTCAACCACAAGCTGTGAGTGCTGCCTTGTTGCTGCCGTGTGCCTTCGAACAGCCTTCTGGGTAGAGCATTCTATCACCACGATCTAAACATCAGGCGGGGAGTGGCGAGGTGAATGGAAAGACATCGGGTCAGGATGTGTTCTTGGACATACAGGAAACTCAGAGAACGGTTGGAAAACGGTTGGAAAGCATGACCCAAGAGTGTTCTTTGAGCTCCGGGCATTGTTTTCGCCTGCATAGTGCAGTAGCAATGGTGTCATCTATTCTAGAGGTTGATCCATCTGTGCCAGATGCTGGCCTCCGTCATAAACTCAGTGGAACATGCTTCACACTGTGAGTCTAGAGGCCTTCGGCTCTATCTTCAGAGCTTTCCACCATGGCAGCCTATCCTGGAATGTTGACGACTCAGCCTGAATCAGCCTGACGTTTGCTTGTGGAAGCGTCATCACAAGCTCAGGCAACCCTTGTGCCATCTCAGCCGTGATTCCGATCGATTTTTATCATGTTCCCCCTCAATCAGGCATAATCAGGCCACTCTATGCCATTTTGGGATATCCTCATTTTTGGACAGCCCCAAGCGTGCTAGATCTGGTATCAGCCCGGCTAAGGCCCGGCATGCAGACTCCCATGATGTACGCTCAGTGCGGATGCATGGCGGGCTATCGATGACGATGTTGAAGTCTTTGAAAAGGGCATGGATGACGTGCTGCGTATACTGCACACGGTTTTTCCATGTTTTTCCCATTCATTTCATGATAGTGGTATCCGCACTTTGACCAGTGTTCCAAACAAACGCAAGGAGTCGACATGTAGAACGTTCAAAAGATCCTTTGGAAGAGACCCGAAGAATGGATGACTTCGCATCAGCCCCAAAGACCTGGGCTTTCAATGTGTAGTGAAGAGACCAAGTTCTATTGACGCCTTAGCAGCACGTCCCCCAGGACGCTTTTGCCCTGAGACTCAGGCCTGGCGCGGCGTACTATGATCCATCTTATGGCTATGCCACTTGGAGCATGCGATGAATGCCGTGGCATGAAATTGGCACAGCGATTGAACCATGCGTGTGGTTGGAGGTTTGCGTCATCATCCCAGACAATGATCAGTTGGTTGTTGCATCTAAATACGGGTCCAGAGTCCAAAATGATTCATGGTCTCACCAAGATGCTCGTTCGCTTCCAACGATTCCAATGACTATTCTGGCAACATTTTCTTGGGAGGATCACCAAGATTGCACCATGTTCACCATGTTGCAGAGGACTTTCTTCAACAGCATTAAATTACGCTTGGCATAGAAGCTGCCCCAGGCTGCCGATGCTGCGATGAGCAAAGAGCAAAAGAAGCAAGCCAAAGAAGCCAAGCGGCAAAGGAAGCTTCTAGAAGCCAGTGCGGATGCCCGTTTTCGAACAGAATCCAACTCCCCACTCAACTTTGGAAAGCGACCATGAAGACGTCGACTTTGGAACAGTAGAATCAGTAGAACAGTCAAGCTGATCAAACTGTTGCAGGAATTTGGAGGAACGACAGGATGCTTTGCTCATGGTGAGACCAAACTGCCATCTGAAAAGATCCACATGTCTCCAGATGAGAACAGATCTAAGAGGTCCACGCAGGAACCTTCACATGAGCGGTCTCGTGCTATGTGTCACAAACCAGGGAGAACGATACATGGTGAACTACTAGGAGCGACTTGATTTGAGGTAAAGTCAGGAGTGTTCTTGGTAGCTCTTGGTGTTACCAGCCATTTGCGGATTTCAGTGTGGAATGGTTGAGGAAATTGAAGCTTCTCAAATAATATGATATCTTACATATACATGCATATAATATATATACATATATATATATACATCAAATTATAAATGGCTGATGGACTTGCTACTTATAAGAAAATGAGAAATAGGTTCCAAAATGTTTGTTTTCTTTCCTTGGAAAACACCGAGGGTTCCCAAAGCCATATCCCCACTTCCCCAAAAGACCAGTCCCGGAAAAGAAAAACTATTCTTCCATGATTGTTGGATATTTTGTGGTTTGATCTCCCATGGTCATTCCTCAACTTCCCAGATGAGCGATGCGAAAAGATGCGTGAGAAGCAGAGGCTCATGGCGATTGGGGACCAGCAAATCAAAAGGGACATGAGAACAGCAAAGATGGGGATCACCCGCAGCTGATTGTATTGTTGAACGCAGCAATGGTTTTATTCTAAAAAGTTTGATATGTTTTTGGTAAGTGCGGAACCATACTGATTTCCGGGGGCCCAGCAATGAAAATTACAAGGAGGATCAGTGAAACACCAAAAACTGGTTGTTTTATGTTCCATGATTGGTCGTGGATACCCTCTGAGGATCATCAAAATCCAAGGGTCGTGCTGTTGCAGGGAGCAAGATAAGAAGGATTCGAGCTGCTTTCTGATTATGATGTCCATAGCCTACATCGGCCTTGGAAGTCTCATGGATCCTTGGCACAGGAGTACAAATTGACATGCGTACGGACAATATGTTGATATGATATAGTATAATATAGTATATACGCATATTATAATATATATGTACAACATGTGTGTTATACAGATACAATCATACATGCATATATACACATGTACATGTATGAATATGAATATCACATGTAATGTCACATGTACTGTGTGTTATTATATTTGTTTGGGATGTTTGCGCACGTATTCCCTTTGGTACGCTGTTTGAACAGGGTCACATTCAGGCCGGCACAACAAGCAGAATGACCGGAAGAAAATTGAGCCGAAGTAGATGTGTTCTGCGAAGATTTAGGGCATAGTCTAATTGCAAATAAAAACATAATGTGCAAATGATACTTCACCATCCCAAAAATGTAATAAAATCGTATATAAACTAATAGGGAAACTCACTCTCGCCCTGGAAACAACTGAGAGTCAGGCGGTGCCCCAAAAGACCTGAGGTTTGATGAGATCCATCATATCCATTTTTTAACTCTTAAAGGATTTTGAGGGACCCAATATCCAGCCACCATGGCGACCCAAGGGCTTGACCATCGTTGGACCAGCCTGGGGTATTTGAGCTCAGCGGGGATGGTGAACCTGGTCATGTGAAAGCACTATTTGATGTTGGCCATTGGGTGGTTATTTGTGTGCACCAACATGTTCAGCTTTACCATCCAACTGGCTATGGGTCTAGAGAGATTGACAAGATTGACGTTCATTTACCTGGGGTGCACCGTTTTGGTATGTACTGCCCAATGTACTGGGGATGATCTCCACTGGAATCCCCATTGAACAGCCAGTATTTGGATGTGGTGAATCGTCCAACAATGGGGCCACGAACTGGGAGATCATACGGGATCATTGGTCAATGAGAAAGTCCACAAGTCTGGCAATCAAGTCACATGGCTGGAAAACCTATAGTTCGATCATCCGTCCCAGCTATACGGTTTAATCATATATAAATATATATATATATAATCATATACATATATAATTACATATATATATTATAATTATATTATATATATAAACCTCCATGGCTCCCAGTAGATCAGGGATTTGCATGGATTTCCTAGCCATGTTTTTGAGTACCGAGTCAAGGCAGCAAGGAGTTCACTGGTCTCGGTTCGGGAGCCCAAATGATGTGGGCAATTTGCCCTGAGCAATTGGTGATTTATAGATGATTAATAGATGATTAGTGCTCAGATAATGATGATTAATAGATAATTAATCAATGGATGATTAATAGATGATGGTCCATTAATGGATGATAGATGATTTATAGATGATTGGTGATTGATGATTTATAGAGAAAGGACTTAAGCAGCAAAACAGAGGGTTAAACTGGTCAAACAGCAAAAATTCTAGTGACATAAACGAGAAATCACTATCACAATTGGTTGAGTGGTTAATGGTGCTGAGCCCCAAATGGGAACTGCGCACTCAGACAGTTAGGACATGTGAAGTGGGTACTGCATGCTGTGAGGGACCGTTAGTGACGGGCAGATTTTTGTCACACCTCGAGATGTGTTGAATTCCCAGTGTTTGTTCCATTGAATTCCGCGGATGTTTGGATATGCATCACACTCATGATGTGGGTAAAATGGGGGCACCCCTAAATCATCCATTTCAATAAGATTTTCATGGATTTTCCATTGTAAACAATCCAGCTATTGGGGATCCCCCATTTATGGAAACCTCCAAATGCTGGGCCGCTGGGCCAGGTGCCGGTTTGGTGATGATGAAGACATCGCTGTTCAACTTGCGTGCACCGAGCTCAGATTTTCGGTTTCCGCGCCGAAAGACAGCACTAGATATAGTTAAACAATGTGACACCGGCAAGACCATCAGAAATAGTTGTAAAATGTTGTAAACTTGCATTGCAGGTAGTTCTATTGTAGCCCATTCCGCAATCTTCCCATGATATATATATAATATTATATTTATAAGTAATCAATGGTCAGCGCAAAGTCACAGTAAGTTTGATCAGAACGAAACACGGGTGCCTCGTGCAGCACGATTCTTCAGCCTCCCCAGATCGATATCTCCTGTGACAAGTCCTTCGCACTGGAATCCTACACTTGCAACAAGGTTCCGATTGCTGCAGATGTTGGTGCTTTTCATGACAGCCCCTGCGAAGTCAAGTCTAAAACTGCTTCAAGTCCTGCAAAGAGAAACTGAATCAGAGATAGATTCTGGGCAAACCTTGACTTGGTATGTTAATGATGTTTTTGTTGCCACAAATGAAGAAATACGCAGTTCAGCGAAATACCTGTTTTGCCAATGTTTTGCCAATGTTTTGCCAATGTTTTGCCAAGGGACCACTGAAGATCAGCCCAATTATATGGTTGCTGACTGTAGTTCATATCCCTCAAAAAACTACATCATGACAGCCTGCTATCGAAACCATGGATCTGCCCAGCACCATCCTGCCACCATGAAGTGCGCAGTTCAGGTGATGAAGGGCTTTGAGGGAGACCACGACTTGCAGAGGGCCCAGGCGACCCTGCAGCTTTTGTGTTGTGATTAGGATATCAAGGCCTGGCATCAGGATGTGATTATGTTCATGTGCTTCGTCAAGTAGTACGTAGTAATACGTAGTATCCCATACTGTACATCAAATTCATCCTCATCCTCCTTATGAGCAAGGGTAATATATTCATATATCATATATTAAATTTGTTCCAAAGTCAAAAATCATGATATATCATGATGTTCCCTGGTAAAAATACCGCAAAATGATGTAATGTGGGTAAAACAATAATAAACCATCCCAGATCTCAGCATTTTTATAGGTGGTATCTTTACCATTCCCAGTCATGGGTGGTTTATGACATTGTTTAAACCACATGAGTAATCATGAACCACCAATTATTACCATCATTTACCATCATTTACCATCAATTATAACCATTACCATTACCATCTATAGTTAGCTTCATCTATAGTTGATTACCATCTATATTAATCATTATTGCAATAACCATTAACTAACCATTCACCATCATTGATAACCATTAACCATTATTATTATTATTAACAACATAAGCATGGTTAAATGTTTTTTCCTTTAAAAAAAAAAAAAAACAATGAATGGCTCAAAGTTTCTGGCTCCGACTTTGTCAGGGCAACACCTGCGCCTTGGTAGCATCTGCCTGCGAAGTGCTGGGACGTTGCTACATTGCCAGGCGAGCGACGATCCGGGGACAACGGTTGGACATTATTTTTTTACAGAGGATCTGTTATATAAGTTATATAAATATATACAAATATAGAGATGAAATTGATGAACCATGATTTAGCCACTGAATCAAGCTAACTAATGTGTTGGTAAATCATGATGTAATCACCAAGCATAGGGGGTTCTCCATGTATTATTCATTGCGATGTTTTATTATCAGGCTGTCAGATTTCCCGACCCCTGGACTCACAGATGTTGATCCTTTTGGGTACAAAGCATATGTAAACATCTCATGGTTGTACCTTTTTGGAGGTACCCAAATCTATTCCATAACCCGGTGGAAACATCGCTTTTATCAGCATAGGATCAACTCCTAGCCATTTGACACGAAGCCCACCGCTGCCAGCATGCCACTCTTCGGCTGCATTTCGCTGTGCGTCCTCTCCAGCTTCTCTGCAGCTTTCTGCCTGCCAGAGACCCAGGGTCACCACTAGAGTTGAACATCCATAACCATCCATAACCACTTGGCATGTGCCTAGCATGAGAACAGAAGGATAGCAGGGTGGACCCATGGTGACCCCCAAAAAATGGATCGCGTTTTTTCAGCGACCAGGTTCGCGTATTCCAAGTCGGTCGCAGATCCAAACCTGCGAATGTGGGCTGGGTGCTTCACCCTTCTTACTCCATTTCTGGCGAAGCTTGGCGTTGATATGTCCATGGTATCTCCATGATATTCAGCCAATTCAGTCCCACTGCTTCTGCATTTTGATGTTTTGGATCTGAAGCTGAAGTTGTTCGGATTTTTTCGGTCCAGATTTTGAAGCTATGTGGATCTGATTTGCAAGTACTATTGCCACCTGTAGCTACCTGATGCTACCTGCAGGAAGGGAATAGAGGGATAAAGATTACTTCCAATTCGCGTACCCTCCGGTAATCAAACATGGCAATGGAAAATCCACCATTTATAGGTGATTTTCCCATTCAAACCTCCAGCTGATTTCCTGGTAGATGGTTAGATGGTTCCGTATTTTGATTGCACCATCTTGATCATATTGAACCACTCCATCGTAGGCATTTCTGTTACTGAGGACCACTGGCATCGTGATCTGGGCCGTGTTGATGCCAGATCTCGGGGAGATCCCACAAGTGAGCGGCCCAACCATTCGGAAGCAGAAGGAGATGGGGTCAAAAGGTTGGCATACACGGCATGTCCGGGAAACATGTTCTGACTTCAGTACTGTAACAGATATAAATGATGGTGTGATAATGTGTGATATGTGATATATCTATATATATATATACATGATATGTTGTGTGAATTTGTTTGTTTTTCATGATGTGTTTTGCTCTTCATTGGAAGTCATTAGAGGGTACTATGTCACTATGTTACTATCAGCATTCTTGTCCGCTAAGTCCTGGTCGATGCTGGTGCGAAGCTTGGAGCACTCTTCGCTGGTTTTAGCGCAGCATATCCCAAGCCTTTGGATGTTTTGGATCGAGGCAGACTCCTTTGGTGCAGGAGGAATCATTGGGTCATGACCTCAGAATAGTCATATAGTTAAGCAACATTTAACCATACTTAACCAAACAGTCATCAATGGATTGGTTTAAGGGAAAATCTACAGGCAACCTCCAGAATTGATCCCATGGTTTCCTGTATAATCTGTAGATGTTGCCATTAAACATCATTAAACCAATCCATTGAAGATATTGAAGTTAACCATGTTTTGTTGATCATATACTTAACTTAGTTAACCCATCATCTAAAGTGCTGAAGTTGGGGGAGTCACGGGGTGTCGAACAATGAGGCACCAGGAAACTCGTGACTTTCAGTCCCTTGGCTTCACCTGGACGAAAACTCGAGAACCGAAAACTCGAACCGAAAACTCGGCCCATGGCACCATGGCCGGACCTGGCGCCAGGTTCGGCTGGACCTTTTTCGCTGCCTGTCTCATCGACCTGTGCATGATCATCTCAGGCAAAAATGCTTGGGATGGTATTATTATATGTAAATATATGTAATTATGATTTATTTTGATGATATTGTTATAATTTATTATGTTGGTACATTTTTATATCTTAAAGTCATAATGAAAAACTATTTTTGTTGATATACACAGTCATGTACGAATATCGGGGAACACTGAAGCTGTTGCATTGATCACTTATTGATCATCATAATCACCATTTTCTTGCATAGACATTTATCATCATTTATCGACTGAAAATCACAAAGGATTCGGTTATTCCATACATTATCAAAGTTTTTATTACATAAACATACATAAACATTCAATCCTGTAAGGCTCCTGCAAGATTTTTCAACCAGACCTTAGACCTATTCCATCTCAGCGCCGCCAGCATTCGTTTGGACGTGTATGTTCAAGCGCTCTGAAGACGAGGAGGAAGTGATTCGACAGGCGCTGAAGTGTTCCTCGTTGGTCTTTGCATAAATGAAGCACTGCAAAACAGCTATAGTCATTTACCGGGATTCAAGTCGCCAGGGAACACGGAACAAGTGAGAATCAGATTCCTTTACAGAATCCTGAAGCTCATTTGACAGCAACCCCCAGTAGGCATGGAATGACTTCAATTGAATTCAACCCCGTGTGACACAGCCGTTCACAGAAAGCAGCGGACCAAGCCTTTTGCGATGAGCTTGGACCTTGGTTATTGGATGATGACGTATCCAAACGGGAGTCAGCACTTGTCACCAGTGGTGTCATATGGGTACCCATATGTCTGGCATATGAATTCTGGATAAACATACGCATACCCAACAAAGATGGGAATGCAATCATTCCGAGGATCTGGCTTTGGAGGTTTCAAGGAATTTGTTCGATCTCAACTGATAGATTTCTTGGTGCCAAGGCTGGAGCAGGACCGTGGAGTCACCATGGCCACTTCGAGTTACGCCTGCGGACCTGAGGGGCTGGGGATGTGGCCAAGGGGCCAAGTGCCAGTGAAAACATACAAAAACTTGCCTCAGTAATGCTGGAATGGTCGAAAATACGTGAAAATACACTCCAAACCTTTTCAGGTGGTTGGAACATGTTGAAGCAGATATTAAATCATACCACTGTTCCAAGTGTGGTACCTCAGCTTTTTGTTTTTCGCCATGCCTTGATTCCGGCCCCGCTCTTAGGGAGCAACAGGGAAGGCTCAGGCCGCATTTGAAGACGCATGAGGCTGGGCCGGGGGGGCCTTGAGCGATGGCCAAACGGATGGTGAAACATGGCTTCGGCCACTTTTACTACGCTAAATGGGGATAAATGATGTGATAAATGGAAATAATTGAGGATAAATGTGGATGAATGGGGATAAACAGGGATCAAGGGGGATCAAGATCCGCTGTTTTGGTAGTGCTTCATCACCACGAGCAAGGGTAACTATCCCCAAATGCCCCTTACTTCAGGTGGGGAGAAGGCTGATGGAATGCAAGCATGTGGCCTTGCCTTACTTCAGATTATATTTATGAAATATTGATAATATTGTAATTCACCTAGCAGCACTGTATGAATACCTATCAACCAATCAGTATAAAATTGAATTGGAGTTGTTGATCGTTTAGTTTTTTCCCCCCTTCATGTGTTGTTAGAGGCCTGGAATGGGAGCATAGGGTTTCAAACTGGTGAACCCTCCATGTATAGCAAATCACAGGAAGTGGTCCCTTCATGTCCCTTCACAATTTTTGCTGTCCTTGGCTTTGTTTGAGACAAGAAAAGGCGGCGTAGTTTCTGAAACAGCTAGTACTAGTACTGTAAAGATTGTAAAGTCTCCAAACACAAAGACTGCCAAAGACAGGCACCAGCCCTGTTGCCCTGTGTTTTCCTCCTTGGTCCTTGTAATTTTGAGGAATCTCAAACGCCCAAATCAGGACATGCCAAGCCTATCCAAGCCTATCCAATTTAGGTGTCTCCTCCTGGCACATTCGGCAGCTGTGGCGCAGCCGAACTTCGACCATCTGAGCTCCTGCCGGGAAAAAAGATGAGACATGTGCAATGAGGATTGCTGTGGAGCCGAATGTTGTGAGGACCGTTTCGGAGGTCAGATTCCTTGGGAGGATTTGCTGATATGCGCTGTCTTGTGGTCATGTTGCTCCTCTTGAGCACAGCTTCCAACTGCATCAAACCGCTTCAAGTTGCTGCAGTTGTTGCTTTGTGTTTCAATCCACCCATGCATCAGCATCCACAACTCAGCAAAAGTTTGCAACCAAATTGCTAGTTGATGAGCCTAGAAGTGTTTCCCATTTGATCCCGTGGTTACCAGCTGCTACCAGATCGTCAGCTTCACTTTTAAAGCCCCATTTGAACATTCCGGGGCCGTTGGCGCAGCGCCATTGGGCCATGACTTTGATGCCAGCAGCCGTCCAGGTGCCCGTGAACAAAATCATCCAAAATGGAGGTTTCCTCAAATGGGGGTACACCAAGCCATCCAAAATTGGACCGTTTAGTAACGTTTAGTATTGAAACCCATGAATTTGGGGGTCCCCTATTTTAGGAAGCCATCAAATATGATCAAATATGTATATGCCCAATATCTCCCATCGTTTGAATCATGAGCTTCAAACTTCCATTCTTTCGCCATGACAAATGCCGCGCAGGCTCCGGTCCTGCCATGCAGGGCGGCACAAAGAAATGTCCAGGTGGCGATCCGGTGGCGATCTGGGCCAGGTTTTGGCATGTTTTGGCTGGATGTTGATGGAATTTTGATGGATGTTTATTCCATTTTATTCCCCAACATATGTATAATATCTCATTTAATATATTGTAATATGAGGTTTTGACCCATCCCCATATTGATGATAAACCATGGGATTTTGAGGTACAGCCCATTTTCAGAGGAAGCCGTAATATGTCCGATTCGTGTTTAAGGATTTTGATTCACGTGAAATGTGTCATCACATCGGGCATATTATGTCTATAATGCCCTTGTCCAGCAGCAGCAATATCAAGTTAAGTCACAAGGCACTTGTCACATCTTACTGTACCACTGTAGCACTTTGCTGAACACAACTAGTCATGATACTTGTCTTTGCTGGGCCTCTAGAATCCTGGGGGAAGATGAATCGTGAGTTTTTCTGTGTTGTGCAACGTACATTGGGTGGTAACCACGCAGCCTTGATATGGCAAGGCCTACAGATCTCCGTGGGTGCCCGAGATTGAGTGGATCATGTGGAACTCCACTGCAGAGATATCCACTGTCAAGAGAGAATCAAGATTTTGGGGTCTCAGCTGCGGTTGACGGAGATTATTACAAATGTTACATACAGATGTGTGGATATACGGTATACGTTACGAGAGAGAGAGAGAGAGATGGTTTGTTGTCCTCAAGGAGAGTGGCTCGTGCCTCCCTCTTTCGTAAAGCCCGGGACTCAGTTTCTATCTCCATTGGAATCCACCACAATATCCCCGTTGATTTTTTTTGGATATTGATGATATATAGATTCTGATCCAAAATGATTAGCAATCAACCACAATCAACCTGTTCCCGTAAAATCTTAAAGCAGAATCGCAAAACATACATATCTTATCATATTTTAATACCATTTCGTAATTTTCAATATGAGCTTTGGCAAATTTGGGGTGGATCATTGTGTCGCACTTCGAGGCTCCACCTCCACCACCACCTTTTTGGCAACAGCCGCAGACCTGGGCGGTGGTAGCACTGGCTGTGGGGCCCTCGGTTGGGATTTGGTGGCCGCACATCCATTTTGGGAGGTAAAGAAAATCGGGCCAGTTGAGAATTTGTTGCTTCGAAATTTTGGGTCGATGGGGTACCATTGCAATCTAATAATCCAATATGACCCTGATTTTCCCGATCGCGCCACAAATTGGTGGCAATCCCTCATTGGAGAAAATCCACTTGGCGAGGCGCTGACGTGGCAAGGTGGTTGAAGGTGACCAGGTGATTTGTGTTTAATTGAAATCAAATAATCTATCTCTATCAAATTGAAGGTGACCAGGTGATTGTGTTTAATTGACTATTGGTGACCAGGTTAATTGAAATCCAATATCTGTGTCCCGACATGTTGAGCAGCTGAGGTGGGCATCGCGCTTGGCGTCCGATACCTGTATAGAAGGTCCAAGAAGGAGACTGCACCTAAAATGCAGGGGCCTTAAGCAATGGGATCGTGGCTGTGACCAAGGCTGCGACAGTTGATGTTAGACATGGAAATGAGATGAACATGAGGGTTGCGAGATGTTACAAGGAAAGAGTATCTATGAAATTTCTATATATACTCTATATATGAGTTCTTTTATACATCATGGTACCAAAGATTCGCAGCTAGTTTCACGCTGTGTTCAGCCGTCATCAACTGGTGTAGACACTGCTCCAGGGCGCTAATCTTCCCAGTACTGTGACGGTTTCTGGGATGTTTCTTTGCAAATTGCGCGACTCGCATGAGTGTACCAATGTCAGATAATGTAAGTGTACCAATGCTTGCAATTTTTAGGGAAGTTCCAACATGTTCCAACTTAAATCCATTCCAAAGATCCAAAATCCTCCCAGGTCTATGGCTGAGATGTATTTCCGCCTGGAGAAGAGTTTGGCTGCCCAGTGGCGCCGCGCGTTTTCCGATCAGAAGCTCTGTAGCATATTTCAGCGAAAGGGGTTGGATCTCATTGGATGGATTTGTGACATGAATTCTGTTGATTTGTGAGATGCTTCTGTGGTGGTGCAACAAATCGGAAAGAATCTGTTGAACATCGTTGAACCGCGGCATACCGCAGCCATTTTGTCATATCTTGTCTAGGCTTCTTGTCGCACTTTTTCTCCATCCACAGGAGCCTTGATGGGGAACTCCGCTTTCTGTGGCAATTGCTCAGAGATGTGCAAGGAGCACTTCGAGGAAGTTCGATGTGATCAGCCGGAGAAGCAGCGCATCTATGCGGTGAGGAAGTTGTTTGAACTCCTCGACTTCGACAATGATGGCCGAATCACCGTGGATGATTTTGTACTTATGGGACTCCACCAGACAAAGTTGCACGCAGAGAGGCGAATGACCCGTCAAGAGGAGGAAAGCATCAAGGATGCCTTCGTCCAGAAGTTTTTCCGCGAGATTGATTCCAAGTTCCAACCAGTACCTTACTACAAATACAAGCACTACCTCTTGCGCACCGTGGAACAGATTCATCCAGGAGACATGCAGGCCAGTGGTCTGAGAGTGGTTTAAAGTTTAGTGATGTTTAGTGTACTTTAATTAAATGATTGTTTTCCTGAGTTCTGTGAGGGCAGACATGGTGGACCAGGCAAATTAAGGTTTCACACAAATCAAGCAAGCCCTTAGCCCTCTATATTATATGTATTTGATATGTACACATGTTACATGCATAAACACATACTATTTGCATGATCAAGGCCTGTTTTGGGACTTTGGCTACATGTGCGTTGCCCATTCAATGTTCAAATGTTCAAACGTTGCCGTTTTGAGTTTGCTTCAAAAGAACATGGCACAAGCAGGACCTCCTGCAGCAAGCTTATCAGTGCAGGTGACAATTGAACAAGTACCCTGAAATCAGATCACCACACATTCCAGTGTAGTATAAAGATGTATTATAAAGAGTCTAATGTTCAAGTTTGGTATATGTTGTAGAGTGAATGTACCAACATCCCACCCATTTTTTGTTCCCAGGCACAGTTGCAAGCCCTCAATGGCGTATTGACGGATGCAACCATTGCGCATGACCGAATCATGGTGGACAAAGCCCTCAAGGTTCGCCGGGCGCCGCGATTGCCCACCATTTTGAGGAGTGAGTTGAACAGGGAGCCCACCCTATCGCCGAAACAGAAATACAGCAACCTTTGAATGCAGAGATTGGGGAGTTTGAAATGGATCGATTATCAGTTGAGGAGGTTGATTCTCTGAGAGATTCGGGTATCTTCAACTCTGAGGACAGGATTTCTTTAGAAGCTGCAGCTTCACGAAATTAAATTGAAGGCCTCCATGTCCCGAAGTGGACTTCGACGGCGTCTCACGCGCTACGATGGTTCATTGCTTTGATCCGCAAATGTGGAAAAGAGATGAAAAGAGTTTCAGCGGACGAAACTGCACTGTATCATGGTACCATTTAATGTGCGCTCTGGGACCAGGCATTTGGAAGAGGGTTGAGTTTTTTGTTTGGCATGCTCAGAAGCAGTGAACAATGTAGCTGAGCCGCGACCAAGGTGCTTTAGCAGGTACAGTGACCTCATCACCTGAGCCTGGAGCTTGGAAGGTCATTTAGCAGCTTTCCAAGACCGAGCTAATGTGAGTCTGGTTCTTTTTGCTCTTGTTTTTGTTATGAATTTTCATGGTTATGCTTTCTAAGTCCGCGTGCCTCCACAGTGTAGAACTCCTTGAAATGCACATTTAGTTTTGGTTGATGCCGAAAATTGATGAAAGTTGGTAAGCTTGAAGCAAGGACAACTTCAGCTCCATCCACAGTAGCAACCTCAGAAGTGACTCAGTCTGCAACGAATCAATGGGTGCTGTGCTCATCTGCGCTCGTCCAAGGACCCGGCTCCGCCAAGCAAACCCTTGCCGACTGCGACGCCACCAAGCCCGGTGGCGATGCCGCCACCGGCACCAACAAGCACTGCTGCTCCAGCCGCTGAGACCAAGAAGGAAGAGAAAACACCTCCAAAGCCAGCTGCAGCACCAGCACCAAGCTCACCACCTACTGCCACGCCACCGGCAGCAGCTACCATGCCACCACCAGCACCTACCACGCCACCACCAGCACCTACCACGCCACCACCAGCACCTACCACGCCACCACCAGCAGCTACCACGCCACCACCGGCGGCAAAAGCACCAAAAGCAGAGAAATCAGCACCACCAGCAGCAAAAGCACCAAAAGCAGAGAAATCAGAGAAATCAGCACCACCAGCAACAAAATCAACCACAACTCCGGAAGCCAAAACGCCCCCTCCTGCTCCTACACCATCTGCGGATTCCAAAGAAACCAAACCAGAAAAGCCACCAGCAGAATCACCAAAAGAGTCAAAGGTTGCGAAAGCGGAGGAGAAGTCTTCTGCTGAGGCCTTTGTCAGCACCATCCAGTGCCAAAATGTGCCAAATCGTCGGGAAAACTCTCTAATAAAGGGTGCATGCCAGGGAGAAGAACCAAACTGCAGGACGAAGTCTCAATAAAACATGTTCAAAGGATGCAAAAGAAAACAATTTCCAACACGAGGACAGGGGTGCAGTCCAAGGTTGGGAGACCATGCAGGAACCTCCAAAGGTTGAAATTGCTGTAACATGAACAGCCGAATTTGTTCGTCTATGTGTGCTTCCTTGCCAGGCCAAAGAAAAGAAAGGCTTTGGATGGCTTTTAAACAGGACGTGGGCATCACCATGCATCACCTAAATTTGATGTGGACTGGGCGGATTTTGAATTGATCAAACGAGCCGGCTCCTTGTTGTGTTCATTCGTGTCCAGGCCTTCACTTTATATTTGATGAGTTTTCCAATTACTACTGAAAACCACGAAATAGTACAGACCGGATTGATGGCAAGCTGGATGCAACCAGGAACAAGACAGTTGAGGCAAGGGACGTGGCCAGTGGAGATTCAGCCTACTCTACCCTTTGCTGAAAATTCAAAAGCTGCAACGGATTGAGTATGCAAACAAATTAAATTTTGGGCATCTCACTGATTTGTGGAGAGCACCATTTTTTTGTTTTTTTAAATAGATTTCTTGGGTCATAGGCTGCAAAATGCGCATCACACTTCGTTGAGTGGTCGACCTATCCATGGGCAGCCAGAACATCTAGCAACATGGTCACCAGAATATGCAGGCGCCAAAACTGGCAGAACTTTTACAGGGCGACGACGCGGATGCGTTGGGAATCTCAACGTGCCAAGGGATGAGCAAAAAAATTGGCTGTCATCTAGTCATCATATCTTGATTCAAACAGAATCACTGGATGAAGAACTTTGCAGTATTCTTGGCTGAAAAAAACAAAATCAGGAGCCAAACTTGATATTGGATGATATTGGATGATATTGGATATTCGGATGTTGATATGTCATCCAATATCATCATGTTTTCATGATATTTTTGCAAGATATTCCAAGGTTTGTTTGATATGATATTGGATGAAAGATGTTGCCACTCGACTGGTTCCAACTTGCCAACCAGGCCTGTCAAGTTCCTGCGGGCAGTGGCCAGCGAGCTCTGTGCGGAGCCCTGAAGGAGCATTGGTCCGTCGGCAAGCGAGACGTTGTATGTAGATTACAATCGTATATCACATATATATAATAATATATAATTATATATATATATATATTATAGTTCCAAAATGTTCCAGCAAAATATGGACCCTACATGTGAGCGATGTGTGAACATTTGTGAACCAACCGCTCCAACAAGCATAAAACGCAAGTCTCGTTATGTCTCATTCTTCTCTTGGAATGCAATGTTCTTGAATTCTTGAATGCTCTTGAGAAGCTTTCGCAAGGCAAGTTAAACATGGTGAGAGTAGACCCCAAGAATCGGAGCTTGTCAGCTGACGGCGCAAACTGGCGTGAGGTTTGGACACGCCCGGTTTTTTTGATGGAACAGAAGGCCTTACTGCTGCCACCTCAGCTGGGCTGGTCCAGTGTCCATGGTCAAAGCTGGGCTCGATGGAGAATGTCTTGATGTGGTGATGCCACTCCAATCAGTCCTGAATTTCTGCCAGATAGAGACTAGATTTGATTAGATTCGATAATAATGATAGAATATCCTAAAATATCCTAAATATTTAAAATATATTTAAATAATGTTAGATGATCTTCGATACTTGGACTGCTTGCTTTCCAAATTTCAAGGTTGTGCCCGACAGCGTTTCGGCCTCGGAGACCAACGTCATAGACGACGTCCCAGCGACTGGCGCCGTGCCGTGCCGGGCCGTGACCAACCGAGGTGCCAGCAAAGTCGATTCTGCTGCACGCAGCTGCCACTGGGACGATCGAGGGTGATTCGGGAAGTGATGACTAATACGCTTTGGACCCAATCCCAACATCCAAAATTCATCAAAATTCATTAAAATTCATCAACAACGATAACAACGAGGATCTCTAGGAGAGGCTGGAAGAAAATCGCCAAAACTCCAGTTCCCGAGGCATGTCGGAACCAGATGCCCCAAGACATCCAACGAATTTAAGTCGGATGTTGGGTATGCGGATGTATGCGGTATAGGTGAAAAAGTGACCTGGTATGACCTGGTTCCATATTGATTTTTGATGATTTTTGATGATCATGTTCCATGACTTATGAGTTGCTGGCCACGGATAGTGTAAATCTCCAGTTAGCCAGTGTGTTTATGCTCCAATTATATCCTCACCTGATACCCCACTATGGTTGCCCTGATACCCCGATTTGTTTGTTGAGTGAATCTCCATTAAATATCGTTTATTATTATGTTTAGTATGGATTAAGTTGAATCACTGAATCACTATGAATCACTTATTAAATCATGAAATCCCTCATGTATCCCATAATTCTTAATCGATGCCCCATCTCTCCCATTATTTTTTAACATGTGCATTGCCCCAGGTCCCTTTTGTGTTCCCAATACCTAATAACCTAATATATCCCATCAAAAATCCATGAAAAACCCATACAAAAGTGGAAAAAAAACATTAAAACCCTAACAAAAATGGCTGGTGTAATTGGCTTCCAGGTCCAGGCAGAAGCTGAGAAGCTGCAGCCCAAAGAGGCTGCGGAGGTGCGCGTTTCGTATCCGGTTGGGTGTCGTTAAGAAGGCCGAGGAGTTGCCGAGTTTCCGATGGGCCCAGGGAACGGTGAAAGTGGCCAAATCCATGATCCGCGAACTGGTGGAGAAAGCTGCGGCCATCAAGGTGCAGTGCTGCTCTATAGCTCCAATCCACAGTGGCCATTTTCCACATGAAAAAAAGCTGGAACATGCTGGAACAAGGCAAAAAGATGGAGTCTTGTTGCTTTTGGTTGAGTAAAAAGCCAGTGTTTTTGAAATCGAAATTGGATGGCACGTGTTGAGGACTCCAAAGGCAAAAGAGAAGTCCTTGACAAAGTGGCCCGAAGCTTGAGCTCTGCGCATCCGTCGGGTCAGAGGGTGAAAATACGGGTGGAGAGTGTTGGAGACTGTGGAGACCAGGAAATTTCATCACCGAAATTGCACGAAAGTTGGACAAGAGAAGTAATCGGCACAGCTCCGGCATTATGAGGTTCTCTTAGCTACCAATAGCCAGAGCCTCACCAACACCATCACACCTGATGTGGAAGCAGGCAGGATGTGGCGAATTTCTTGGAATGTGAGCGACACAGGCCATCACAACCAGTGGCTGACATCGAGTGCAACGCCAGGCACACCGGTCTACGAGGGTTCGCTGAGATACAAAACCGTTGAGGCTCTTTTTGATGTGTCAGCCTGGCACGTGTTGTCCTGGAGCGTTCTGGAGTCTGGTGATTTTATGTGATTTTGAGGCTGTTGCATCGCAAGGAATAGTTGGAATATGTTGGAATATGTTGGAATATGTTGGAATAGTCATTGAACAAGGCCTGGTTTCTGGATGCACACCTCCAGAGACTTCCAAGTTGAGCACGAAACTTGAGTAGATCGTAATCATGGAAAGAGAAAAATCGGTAGAAAGACCTGTCTAGTCCAAATACCCTCTACATACCCTCTACTGCCCTCTACAAAGCCCGGTGTCGCGTTGATTTTGAAAGCTCCCATGGTTGAACCGCATTTTCCACGACACGAAATCGTCACGGTGAGGTACCTGGACAACTGCGTGGATGATATGCAAGAGACCACTACGGCCATGTTTGGATCTCTGATGAGCGGCCAGGCCAGAACAGATGCTGGAAACCAGGGCTTCGAAATGGCTGGGTGAGATTGGAATCTAACTTTAAAGCCCCCATAAAACATGCCTTGTGGATGTTGCTGCAAATGCACCTGATGATTGAAGTCTCTGCCAGGAAGCACCCCAAATGTCGGTGCAATGCCCAGTCTGCTACCGTTGCCTTCCTGTTTCAATTTGGGCACCCCGGCGTCCCAGTCACAATGTTGGAAAAGATGGTTCTATAATATGGCGATTGATGGCGATGATGGCGATGTACCCAAAATTTGAGGTACATTTTGACATATTTTGACCCGTAGACGCATAGCAGTCAAAAAAACATCCCAATGTCCGGGCCTTTCTTCGTTGCTGAGATGGAGCAAATGGAAGCCAGGGCAGCAGATGCAGAAAAAGCTCAAAACACCTTGGCAGCTGTTTTCAAAATCTCCGAGGGCAAGGCGAGACATGACCACTGGTAGTGACTACCAGTGACTGGACAGTAAACTTTTTCTATGATGTTTTATGTGTTTTTATTCCATCCTGACAGTTCCTGTGATGAGGGTGAAGTTGTAGCCTTATCCCCGGGGATGGTCTGCCATGGACTTGCTAGGCCCAGAAGCTTCTGGAAAAGAAAATGAAAGTCGCCACGGATCAAGTTCAGAAGGATGTGGCTTTATCTGGCTTCCGGGAGCTCACTGTTTTTAAAAAAGTCTTCAGCCGGCCCAAGTGCACGGGGAATACTTCAACGCCATGAAGCGTTTGAAATGGTTTGATGGTCTTATGAGTTGTACTCGTAACATCTCGTAAATATATAAATATACTGTAATTGCATAGGTAGTAGATAATCATATTTAGGTATATGATATACTATACATCAGAATGTACATCCCATTTTTCCAGAGCATGTCCTCCCAGCAGTTTTTCCATTCTTCGCTTGAAGGACTTGATGTCGGGCCTTATGAGTGGCAATAGCTGATGCCGTCCCTACTTGAGAAATGGACTGTTGAGAAGTTAGAGACCAGCATTGAACAACTGTTGTTAGATTTCTTAGAGGACTCGCTCATGATCGGTGTTTAAGAAACATATTTTGTTCTATGTATACATCTACTGTATACACAATTAATTTACACATGCATTTGTAACTTGGTGGTTGCATGATACTGCATGGATTTCAGAATGCAAACAACAATAGAAAAGCATCGAAAAGCTAGCAGCCAGCACATTTGGCTCACCAACTGAAACAGCTTTTGTTGTTTAATTATTTTTGAAGGGACAGCATTCAACTATAAGTCTGTCACTTGGACCGTCAGCGAAAAAGGAGTGGAGAAGGGCCGGATTTGCACCGAAAGGATTTGCCTGGCAACCTTCGGAGAACGGGCAGAGATAAGACATTATGGTACCTTCAGCTCGACCTATCAAGACAGCCAGAATACGAATGCTTTGCAATATTTGGGCAGTGCTTGACAGCAGGACAACGCAAAAAGCAAAGCAGAGAAGGCTTAAGCCATAGCGTTCACTTTGGTCTCACATTTTTTGTTTTTGCTTAACCAGGATGGTGCAGCAACCAGAAATGCCAAGCTACGTGATTGTTGGCACCGGGCAACCCGAAAACTCGTTGCCACATGGCCACCAGTAGCACTCTTGAGTCCAAAGGCGGCGCACCAGCCATGAGGTATAATTACATTGGAATCATTTGGAATGTGGACGATGTCGCAGATAAAGTTTGATGATATGATGTATGTATGAGTATGTAATACAATATGACATGTTCTAGCAGAATTCATCCATAGCCAGTAGAATGAATCAAGTGCCTCAGCTATTGAGTTGCAGAAGTTTCCGCTGGCACCAGGTCTATCCGCTCCAGATCTTAGTGATGCTGCGCATGTGGTGAAGATCTTTCTGGAGCCATTGCAACGATTGGGCCTTTGCGGGAGACTAGCACAAGCAGAACATATCATAACTACATACTGTATACCTTTCAATCCTGCTTTTTCTCATGTGTCTTATCTTCCAAAACAGTTTGTCCCAGAATTGGTGCCCACCAAAAAATACCCCAGAAACTGCAGGTGTCATCATAAAAAACCAGGCTTTCCTGTAAAGTTTCCATTAAATCACACCAGTTTTGCGTAGGAGGCTGGCTACGACGTTCCCAAATTGCTGGAGCTGGGCCACGGACCAGAGGCCCTTCGAGCTGCGGAAGTTCCTTTGAAGGAAATGGTTGCGGCCAAGGTGCCCTTGCATGGAAACTTGGTGCAAGATTCCAGCGGATGTATACGGATGTGATATTCGACGAGATGTCGGACATGGGCTAGGTGAATAACTTAAGAAGCATGTGATATTCGACATATGCGACGAGAAATCGGACATGGGCTAGGTTTGGCTAACTTAAGCAACCATTGAGAATCCACCAATCGATGGCTGGGGGCCTCATTGTGTTGTCAAGAAATATGACAACTCTGAAAATTGAATTGATTCCAAGCTCACTTTCCGCATCAGAATTGCCTTTCTGGGGCGTGATTACCCCGTTGCCGGACAATCCCATGTGCGAGAACCATTCTTATAATCGTCGCGAAATATGATGGCACAGAACTCTTTGGCAATCCAATCTGGCAATTAGAATCACCCAATAGCGATGGGCAATGCTTAAAATGATCAGGTTGGGATGCCCAAAGAAAGCCATAGGAAGAACCAGGCCATGCACGCTAAGCGGCATGTGTCCACACCACTTCAGTACATTTGCTAGGGAAAGTGGTGATCGGCGCAGATGATATATGTTTCATTATTTTTCAAAAACATGCAGCCCCAGGCACCCCAAATTAAAATCTTATATTTTTTTCGCACTTTGTAGACCCTGGAAATGAGGAATTTGGTGCCCTATTTGAACGAAACCACCCAGTTTTTCAGTTGTAAACCCACCATCAGTGGTTTCTCCCATGTTTCTTTCTTACGAATGGAACTAGTATTGCTGCTGAATTATGGAACTTGAGTTCTACATCTTTTTCTGCCTGGCGTTTGTGACCCCTAACCTTGAACAGGACTGGGATCAGAAAAACCGTTTGAGATGTTTGAGGCCTTGAAAAAATAAAAGTTGCCCCATGACTTTTTCCACCCAGAAATCCAGAAACCATCCATTCCGCCCAGCCTTGAGGACTTTACCATGCCGGCTATTCAGCCAGAGACATCTTAGATTTGGGCCACTGGGCTGATGAGGATGTCATCGAGAAGCCTGAAGGTGAATGTGGCATCAACACTAAACATCACTAAACGCCCCAAAATTGAGCACATAAACGTCATAAACGTGGCAATTTACGATCGTTTTACATCGTGAAATATGACTTTCTTTTCTGTAGATTTGGGGTGTTCACCAGGATGACAGGGTTTCATGATGTTTCATGATGCGAAGGATATGCGAAGGCTAAGAAGGCTAGGGCTAAATTTGCGGTAGGAATGGTTCATGTGTTTTGCGGTTTTATGATCAGGGAAATGAACCTAGTGATTAATTTAGTGGTTTGTTTTCTGTGACTGCCAGTGCCCTCGGGATACATGAGGTTACTCCAAGAAAGAATTGAAAGAAGCAGGCTGCTCAGCGCGCGAGTTCCAGGACTTCAAATCAGTCCAGGAACCTCCACAAGAGTGGAAGTATCTGGAAAGATGTAGAAGGATAAGGCTCTAGCCTTCAACTTCAGGAGCTTGGCTGCAGTGCAAGTACGCTTCGACAGTTGGGCTACCAGGCAAAATCAATTGTTAGTCTGGTGGTGTCTGGTGTGAATCAACACAGAACCACTAGTACTTACGATATCTTACGATATTCTTACAGAAAGTGTTCAAAAACTGTTCCAAAAATATCCAAAAAAATGGTCCAAATCTCCAAATGCCAGGCCATGGAGGTGAAGAGCTTCAAAACACCCGAACTGCTGGATGCTGGATACGCACCTGAAGAACTGCATCTCGGCCGGACACGGACCAAAAGGGCCTTCGATCCAAAATGGATCCGCCAGATGCTACGACTGAGAAGACCACCATGAGGATGGGATGGAAATGGATCGAAATGGATCGAAAGGGAGTAACAGTAGACTATAGATAACCAATATAACTATATATCAACTAAGAGTTTTTAAATCATACAATTAGAATCAATTAGACATAATTAATCAATTAGACCCTGCGTGTCACTTGAGTGCTGGCTTGTTGCGCGGATGCCAAAGGGCCCAGGCATGGACCGAAGTCAATTGTCAGCGCAGAACTCAGGAAAGATGCTGGCTATACTGCCCAGGACTCAGATGCAGCATTGATGCAGCTATAACCTCACAGTCACTTGGAACATCTTGGAGCCCAACATTGAGAATGCCAAGAATGCCAACCACTAGAAACAATGTTTGGATAGGATAGAAGCTGGTTAGTGTAGTTGATATGCCCTTCGATGCAGCAGTCTATGAGCGTCAACCGGATGCCGAGCCGTCACCTCTTTGACTCAAACTTCTTCCATGGAAGTATTTCCCATCACTTGTGGTGCTCACAACTTGCACAACCTTTCCCTGCAAAAGTAAGGAAAAGGGGATAAGAACATATAAGAACAACCGCCACGGTTTCGCATGGTTTCGCAGACAAATTTAATTGCGAAAGTTTAAGTTGCGGTGAGAAAAATGCCAACGCTCTGGTGGAAAACCGAAATACCAAAGTTGTGCCAATTGCTAGTTGCATCAGATTCTACATATATTATATATATACATATAATATTATATATAATTAATCATATATATGCACTGCATTATATACATAAGTATTATTACATATATAATCATATATATATATACATATACACTATATTCTTTATGTTTGTAATAGATTTTCTGTCACCAATGTCTTTTGCAACAGGAGCTAGCGCCTCTGGGAGCCACGCGGCTAAAATTGCTGGGCTTCACAGTGGAACAGCTCTCCATGGCAGGCGGGGTATTGGCGAACTGAGCAATACATATTTCATATATCATACAGTATACAGTATGGATTAATATAGTTAGATATAAAGAATATGATTGATTACTGTACATGTTCAATACAATGACACGATGTGCAAAATGATCAAGAGCAGACTTCTGCAGTACATCGGTATATATAAATTGTATATACATATATTATAAGTGATTTATGATATATGATACAATATATATATATATATATGATATATATATATATATATGATATATATATATATATGTATGTATATATACTAACACGCACGCACACATTGTGTGTAGTCATTATTCACAGTCAATGATGGGTGGTATCCCAAAATACCGAAAATACGAGGGCCCAAAATCTGCCACAGCACTCAACAGCGGGATTTTTCGGTCAAGAAAGATATCATTCGCAGCCTCCAGGTTTTCAGCCCAAGCAGCTGCAGGAAGCTGGCTTTCATTTGAAGGATATGATGATGGCAGGCTATAGTTTTCCAGAAGTTTTGATCGCTGGTCAGTTTCCAGTGCAAGAGGTTGGAGCCACCGTTGGCTACTTCTTCAACCCACGTGGGGCAACCTCTGATTCCTGCCTGGCGAAAACAGTGCGAAGTTCGGATTGGACCAATGGCCATCAAGGCAGTCAGGGCAGTTGGGGAATCAGCAAACAGGAACTTTTGGTGAGTAACCCTGGTTGCAGTTTCCACTAGCAAACAAGTAGAAACTGAAAAGACAAGATACTATATGATAGTATATGTTTGCATCGTTTGCATGTCAATTTCTTGAGATTTTTCACACCCACAGGTGGATAAGAAGGCCGCCCACTGGATTGTCAGAAGGCGTTGCAAATATGCATAGGCAAGACAATTGGCAAGACTGTTTGGCCAGGCATACGAGTAGCTGTCCGAGTGTTACAAAAGGATCACACATTCTATGTTGTCATGGCCAGTTCCATTTCACATCCTCAAGAGAAGCAACATGCCATTCGTTTCCCAGGTGTCGTTTCGTATTTTGTTGGCAGAAGGCGATTCACCAAGCTGAATGTGATTGTCCTGTTTTTCCATTTGTCTATGGTTTAACATGGTTTAACATGGTTTAACATGGTTTAACATGGTTTAACATGGTTTAACATGGTTTAACATGGTTTAACTATGTTAACACGTTGTTAACTGTTTAACTATTGAAGAGTGGGAATTCCGAGGCCATGGTGAAGTACCAGGGTGAAAAACTGGTGGTTCCGTGTCATTTTTGGCTCAGTCGGCGCGCCCCTAAGGGGTTCCTAGCCCGCCATGTTCCTACGGCTGGTTGTGTGGGCCATGATCCTCAGAAACCGCTTTGCTGGTCAAGTCCAGAAGGGTTTTATATTCAAACGATTTGGTGAACATTTGGGGGAGAACTACTTGTTTTAGTATAACTTTAGTATCTTTAGTTTGGTTTTCTTATGTTTTCTTCCTTTCTCCAATTCCTCCAAGAGACAGTGTGTATCAACATGTATCAACCAAGTAGCAACATCATTCCCACTGCATGGAAACAGACGTTTGAGGCGAGTGCCCTTTCTGTGAGCTTGGCGGATATCGACAACATCTTTCCCATCCTCTATGCGAGGCCCCTGAATCCACCTCTGCGGTTTCAACGTCACCAAATGTTTGGCCATTCAAAAGATTTGCTTGAACTAGAAAGATAATGGATATAACTTGATATAATAATATATCAAGTTATATATATATATATATTGTGTGTGTGTGTACATCATTGTACATCCATATACCTGGAATATGCAAGACTTGGGATCAATCCTGTGCCAGTAATCCGGTGGCGCAGCACACGGCTTGTCCTGTGGCAGCCGGTGGGTCCTCAGTGGCGGTCAGGGGATTGTGAATCTAGGGATGAATCAAGCACCGGAAAATTGTTGGGCGATTTATTAATCCTAACTTGACATTAATTGTTGATTGTTGGGTTTGACAAATGATCATGTTGATCATGTTGTATCCAATGGTCTTGCCGTGTTTTTATTCGCTTGGGGATCGCTTGGCAGCTGGAACTTGGTGAATTGTCTCAGGTGAAGCTACAGTATGCAGATTAAGCGGCTACGAGGTGCAGCATTCGGGAGCTCTTAACAGCGCTGTAGCATGTTGTAGCGTTGTAGGCCTGACTTGAGTATCTTGGACAGTGCCGTGACACAATACCCTTGCAGAATGAATGAGTCTGCATCGGTTGGATACAATTGGGGCATCCTGTTGCATCATATCACAGTCCTTCATGACAATGTTTTCCTATAGGTGTTCAGATGTTGAAGTCATTCAGAGCAACCAACCAGGGCAATATATGGGTATGGGTCAATACCTATACATACCATTTTTAGGGGGATGAACATCCATTTACCAGCTATTTTGGGGTTCACCAGGGGTACCAGGGTTTTGACCCATCCCCATTTATGAGCTTTTTCAAGGTGGCATCTAAGACCCTTTGATTTTTCGAGGAGAATAATGGAGAGCTCCAGTACCTCGTTACATCTCTGCCCTCAAGCGGCAGCTTGTGCCCTTTTCCGAGAAAGTTTGCAGGATGTTTCAGGTTTCAGGCTTCCAAAATCTGACTAACATGAACATGATGTTAAATGTTCAACAGATCTCAATGATCGAGCATTGGATGCCTTTTTTCACCTCCTGTCCTTCTGTGGCACTTGACACCATGTGGAGTGTCAACTGATATCAAAATGTGGACCAGCTCCCCCAACACCTGGGCGTGAGAATTCGTGACGCCAGGTACGAAACCTCCCAGAACTATAGAACCTATGGCACAGATCCAAAGTATGCAGCCACATCCATCAAGGAGCCTTCCATTCCTCTTCGGGATCATGCATGACCGTAGAATTGGCGGTGGTTCAAACACACAATGTATCATATATATTCAAACAACTGGTGTAAACTGTAAACAAACAAATCAATATATCATAATATATCAATATCACATATCTCAAACAACTGGTGTAAACTGTAAACCCCGTGTTCCTCTTTGATTTTGCCACGTATAACTTGCAGTGGCTCCACCGCAGATCGTCCCAGCATCGCGAGGACTACGAGTTGCCTTTCAGAGTGACTGATCCATTGGGGCCATGACCTGAGGGCTGACAGCGGCTGAAATGTCGAAACAGGCCACATTACCTCAGTCATTGCTGGTCATGAGTAGCAAATGAGAGTGGTAATAGCAGTACTATGGCATAAATCATCATAAATCAATATAAATCATCCAATTGATATTGAATATGATCAAGATTGATCAACTATACGGATGATGGTTTCTGATTCTTGCTATGCATCGATGATTCATCCTGGTGGACCACCGTGGACCACTGCCCGGTGGCCGCTGCAGGCGTGTGGTGTACATACCGCCCTCAGATGTCTTTCCACCGGAGGGAAGATGGGCTGCCATGACCTATGAGGTTCAGGAGCTGCAACCTGGGCGTGGGCTCAGAGACTTACAACTGAAAGATGACCGGGAACAACTTGAGGGAACCCTAGATTGAGGGAAGTGTATTCAGCTCCTCTGTGCTGAATCTCAGACCTCGCGCATTCGATGTCCGGCATGTGTATATGATATATAAAAATATGCGTATTGCTATATATATATATATTATATATCCATATGTTTTCCTCACGTGTGCCAGGACCGCGTAACGGGCAACATTTCCCAACCGGGACAAGTTTCCTTGAGCAGCAGCTGGGTCGCAAGATGTCGCAAGATGTCGATCCACCGATTTCAACCGGTCTGGCAGTGTTCCACTCCTCAGATGTCCACTACCCAGGTCCCTCACAGCGTGTGGCGGAAAGTACCTTTGTCGGTGGCACAGATGTGGGGAGCTTGAGACACGCTTGTTGCTGTTGTTGGCCAATGCACAGTTTCGATGATTTGCGCTGGAATCAGACTCTATCCCGAGTCTTTCATGAATGTTATTTGTAAACGTCGCGTCTGCCACATGTGCCAGACGTTCAGGTGGTGATACATCATGATACATCAATTTATCATAATTTATCCCTGCTGCATCATTCTGGCTGAAGTTTTTATTGGGGGATCCTTTGCTGGGTACAGTTGTGGTTTTTGGCAGCCACCTGCCGGGTCGCCGGGTATGCGATGGGCTGTGGCAGTGCTCTTTGGCATTGCAACTGCCCAGCCACAGAAGCAGAGGATGGAAGCACCGAAATGGCTTGACGATGATGGCAAAGAGCTCTTCAGCGATATAGAAAGTGATGAGAATTTGTATGGTGACTGGGTAGATTAGACCTGCTTGGTGGTTTCAAACCATTTCAAACCTAAAAATCGGATGATGCTCCCCATTGCTAATATTGCCTGTGTTTTTTCAGGAGCTGAAACAATTGAAACGGAACCCTCAGGTGAGCAAGCGTGTGAGAACCGTGAGAAGCTTTTGAAGGCCATGGCTGGAAAGGGAGATTCTGGCGCCTCAAACTATCGAGTTCGAACCTTGCTCGGCTTGGGCCTTTGTGAGGTGAAAAAGGAAAATTGGGTCATGGCCAAAAAGCGCCTGGAAAGCACCATTTCAGAGATGAACGTACCCAGTGAAGACATGATGATGAAGAATCCCGACCTTGCACCCGTTGCCCTCACCAAGCAAGCGAGCGACTTCATGAAGAAATTTGAGTTGACGCAGGCAGGAACTCAATTTCGACGATGCAGAGAGGTGCTGGACCGAAATTTGAAAACGGTTCTCAAAAAAGTTCACCAACAGATGAGCCGCTCGCCAAGTCGAAGATATTTCATCATGTTTTTATATGTTTTTGTTGTCATATGATATATATATATATACTTGTATGATCTTGTATGATTATGTGTTCTTTCTTGAATCCGTTCAGGGTCCAAGATTTATTTATAGATAATTATAGATATTTGTGAACATACCATACAATCAATTACAATCATATATACATGTAAACTGTATAAAATATCCAAACTATATATGGTTTAGTCACATATTAATATAGAATATGTGTTGCATGATATATTTCATCCTATTTCTCAGAATTTTGTCAGATCTCTTTGTTCTTTTCCCGTTTCACATTATAATAAGCGTAGGTCAGGGCGGTCAAAGCCTTCCTTTGGAGAAGCTCATCGAAGAGATCCCGGGCTATGGAAAGACGGGGCAGTTTCTGCCTACGCTGATGACGCAGGTCCAAGGCCTCAGAGAAGTCTTCAGCTTCGCAGAGCTTGTGGACAACGCTTTGGATTCCCTGGACAACCAGGCGCCTTGGGCGCCCATAAAGGGCGCGTTTTGATGATCTGTGGTTTCAAGATGTTGATGTAAGATATGATGTAAGATAAGATAAGTCATATCGGAGATATTGAAGATGAGTGAATGATTTATGGTTGAAGTGGCGATGTTTGCACCACTGGGGTGAAGACGTGCTTGAAGAAGGTCTTTAGATGTTTGGGAACTGACTTACGTTAGTTTTGTACTCGTAGATGAACTGACACATGGTGATGGTCGAGTTTTTGATGTGCCAGTTCAAGAAGATTAGCATTCCTCAGAGCAATATGAACGCCTATAGCCTTGACAAAAGAGTGGAGTCAAAGTGGATTCGAGGAAACAGATCATCACATTTGCGCTCTTTCCAGGTGGCTTCCGTGGACCCGATGCAAAAAAAGAAGAAGCTGAGACTCGACGTGAGCAAAGGCAAAGGTTCCAAGACGGGTACCATGCTTTACGTCCGCAGCATCTTCACCGCGCCCATCTTGTCAACTGAAAGCTTGGCTGTTGCCAAGGAGCTGGTAGACACGGGTGTGGCCAAAGCTGTTACGAGCAGCTCCCTGGAGAAGTCTGTGACGCTTCTCAAGAGGACCAAAGCTGGATCTGGCTGCAAGGACTCAACGCAGATCTGTGAGAAGTTGGCGAAGATTGCAGATCCTTGGAATGGCTTTGCATATGTAGGCATAGCCAGAATTTTCTGCTGTTTTTGTTGGGATAAGCACCACATCAGACTCATCGCCATTTTGTGGTTGTGAATTTGTAGGGGATCAACAGCAACAAACCAAGGATATTCAATCCAATCCTTTTGGAGAGTCGCGCTTAATGGTGCTGAAGGAAAATAAGAAGCAAACGCTGGACACTTGCACGACCAATGCCAACATCGGAATTCTGGTGTCCAGCAAAGACGGTGTCCGTCTCACCGTGGCGGGTGAGTCCGTAGAGTTGAAAGCTGGAGAGCCTATGGGACTGGATTTTTGTCTGGAAGCCAGCTTCTTGGATTGGTGCTGTCGATTTGCGGATGTTTTCGGGTAGAACTTTGTTGTGACGACCATTGATTCAACTCTTTTCCTGCTCATTTTGGCAGTTAGGACATAAAGAGTATTGGAATGTTCATCGCAAACTGGATTGCGCTGAGCAGCAACATGGAATATTAATGGGATGGTATTTTTTTTAGGATTTGTTTTTGTTTTTCAGCCTGGGGCAGCTTTCCTTGCTATTTGCTGCATTGGAGCTAAAATCTATGTTTTGCATGCATTTTGGAGCTAGAATCTCCCATTTGCGTGCCCACTTGGCTTTTGGCTTCACTTGGCTTCACTTGGCTTCACTTGGCTTCACTTGGCTACACTTGGCTCATGGCTTTTGGTTTTGGTTTCACTTGGCTTTGGTTTTGGCCGTTCACTTCACTTGGCTCTTGGCGTTTGCTGGGTTTTGGTATTGTAGTTTGCATATAACATGTCATTTAATACTTTGATATACTTTGCATATAATATATATTTCATGTAAACTGCGCAAAAACTACAGACCTAGAGTATAGGAGCTTGTATGCATGCTGTTGTAAGAAAATAACGAAACCATCAATTCAAAAAAACTAAAGAAACCCTAAACGACCCCCTAAAGAAACCTTAAAAGAAACCCTAAAGAAACCCTAAATTCCAAACGACACCCTAAAGAAACCCTAAAGAAAACCGAAATAAAACCCTAAAGGAACCCTAAATGAAGCCCTAAAGAAACCTTAAAAGAAACCCTAAAGAAACCCTAAACGACACCCCAAAGAAACCCTAAAAGAAACCCTAAACCCTAAAGAAACCCTAGATGAAACCTTAAAGAGACCCTAAATGACATCCCAAAGAAGCCAAAAACGTCACCCTAAAGAAACCCTAAATGAAACCCTAAACCCTCAAGAACCCTAGAAGAAACCCTACAGAATGTTTGAAACCACGAAAAGATCATTGAAGACGATCAAGAAAGCGATGAAAACCATCCAGGTATCGTTGAAAACCATGGGAAAATGGGTGAAAACTATATATATATATATAATGTTGCAATTATCATGCAAATTTACGATTTTAGATACCCAAATTTGCGACTTCAGCTCCGAAATGCTGCAAATAGCATCGCAAATCAGAGAGATTTTAGCTCCAAAATGCAGCAAATAGCACACAAATCAGAGATTTTGGCTCCAAAATGCAGCAAATAGCACGCAAATCAGAGATTTTAGCCCCAAAATGTAGCAAATAGCAAGGAAAACCGCTCCAGACTGAAAAACAAAAAAGATCCTTAAAAAAAACATCACCCATATTAATTGGATGATTATGGGATGATTCCGGGCTGATTATGGCATGATTATGGCATGATTGTGGGATGATTAGGGGGTGATTATAGCATGATTTTGGAATATTGTAGGTCACCTCGAATTAGTTTTTTTTTCTTTCCTGTCTCTCGATTTTCACCAGAATGTTGGAGAGTTGCATCGATTGTCCTTCCGTAGCGGCTATGGATTCCGAGAATTGAGTCGTGGGAAAATCAAAAAAGGATACCCATATGAGCCACTGCAAAAACCCCGGCAATACTAAATATGTATTGGACGGACATTGGTTTATGGAAATTGATGGAAATTGTAAAACAAAATACACGGTAAGCGATGGGACCTTCCCAAATTAGCAATACCCCTTTTCAAGGTTATGTCGTTGTATTTCTCTAATATCCACATTAGCGATACCCAAATTGGACGTATGTAGCAGTTTCCTGCAAGTGATACCCCCAAGTTTACCATATATCATTATTGTACAAACGTGTGGTAAGCGATGGGACCTTCCCAAATTTGTGGATGTCCTTTCCGTGAACCTAGGGTTTTCGAGATTGCTCATATACAAATACATATATAATTATATATATATATATATATTGGTGTGAAAATAAATCCAGTGTTCATCATATTGTCTTCTTCAGATCTCCCCTTAAACCAATCCGATTTTTCGAATGATTCGACGATTTCGATGTGACGGATGCGAGGCTTGGAGTCTTCCAGCGCTGCGCAGGTCCTTTTTGCCCAGGCTATTGGTAAAGCTGTGATGTAAAAGGGTGGTTTAAAAATGTTTAAAAGTCTACGGACTAATGGATATAACATGATATAACATGATATAACATTATATAACATGATATAACATGATATAACTATATGACGTACATTGATGATGTACATTGACTATACTGTCACTCACTTACTATGACGTACTAATTATGACATACAATGACATACTACTGCTTATGGATACTACATGATACTACATGATACTACTAACCTGTTGTATCTCTTGTTTACACATGTTGCACACATGTTTACACTTGTTTTACAGTACATATGCATTTACCATTGGATTTTTGGCAGCATCCATTATCATCCCATTATCATTCCATTATCATCCCATTATAGCTACGTATGGCTATTCCATCGCTATTCCATAGCTATTCCATAGCTATTCCAGGCCTGGCACCCGGAGTTTGCTGCGGTGGAGCGCACCACTGAGCTCCGTGCGCGGGCCGGCGGCTTCGGCTTGTCCGACGAGGAGGTGAAGGCAGCGGCCAAGGCGGTGAACGACCACGCCAAATCGGCGTGGGAAAAGACGGCGAAGACCTGGAGATCTAACTCTGAAGGCCTGGAATCGATGAAGAAAACCCTTCAAAGTAAGGAGGAAGAGAAGATTAAGGCCAAAGAAGCAGCTGAAGAGGCAAAAAGAAAGGAGGATGAAGCAGGTGATGAAGAGAGAAAAAAGAATTTAGAGTTGTTGGAGAAGAAGCGAGCTGAGAAGAAACGGCAGCAGGAGGAAGCTGAGAAAAAACGCTTGGCCAGAAAGAAGCAGTTGGAAGAGGAGAAGGCAAAACGGGATCCTTGGCTCCTTTTCCCAGAAGTAGTAGAAGCTGAAAAACACTTGGAGGATTTGAAGGATCAAAGAAGAGATGCCAATGCCAAGTTGGAGTTTGATCTCTCCAATAGTTTGACCAAAGACATCTCTGCGGCTGAAAGGGCTTTGAAGTCCGTCACAAAGAAAGCGAAAAAGGCGTACAAGAAAGGTGAAAAGCCTGGTGCTACAAGCGCTAGTAGCACCGAGAGCAAGGGTGACAAGACAGACAGCAAGGAGTTGAAGACTTTGCAGGCAAAGCTCCAGGATGTGAAGGAAAGGAAAGACAAGGCGAGTCAAGCCGAGAATTTCAAAGAAGCAAAGAAGTTGAAGGCGGAACAGAAGGACTTGGAGGAGAAAATTGCCAAGTTGGAGCTATGACGAGGAGTCACCAAACGTGAAACGCCAGAAATCATTGAGGCAACAGCCCCAAAAAAGGCAGCAAGCGACCTGCCACATATACCGAAAGGCGTTTCGAAACAAAAAGCGCCCCGTGCCCCCCGTAATCAAACAAGGCGATGGAAAAATCCATTGTTGCTAGTAATAGAGATTTCTATTATAAATTGTAATACTATAATATGATCATGTAAAAGAATCATTGATAGCTGGGACTTTTATATGTTTTCCCATGAAATGCCCAATTTGTTGGGGATTCCCCCAAGATATCCCAGCTCGGTTGGATGACACCGGGAAGCTCCGGGAAGCTGGGCCCGGCACTGAGTCCTGGACGATCTCCGGCAACATCTACGCCACAATGCCAACTTGGCAGGTCGTGTACCATTGAGTTATAGGTGATTGATATGGTAAAATACCACAGAAGAAACTCTATGAATCTATTTATAAGTCTATGTAATTCTAATAATGAAATCATATGAAATAACCATAATTCCATAATTGATTGATTGATTTGATTGGCACATTGAGTGTTTAGCTATACCGTTGGCTGGTGATTTTCACATTATCTTGATGAGTTGGATGCTCTTTGCACAGTGGATGGTTTGTGCACCATACCCACATTGCGAGCCCTGGAAACAGGCCTTCGGCTGGGGCGTACTCAACCGCTACATCTATGGTCCAAACCACAGTTGTTGCTGCTAAGACCACCAGATATCCACGGATCACAGAAATCTTGAATTCCTTTTCAAGTCATTGCAACACGTTGAATATGAGACAAAAATGGCGCCATGCTACGAAAGCAAGGCACCGATGAAGTCCAGTACATTGACTTTGACACCAACAGTGACCAGCCCTGCACCTAGCCTTGAACAAACCAAAATGCCACAAGTCCGTTTCAAAACGCGCTCCTCTTCATGTAGGTTTCGGCCAAACTTAAGAGCAGCAAACTGACAGATTCGTACAGATTGGGATGAGTTGGGTATTTTGCCAACCCTAAACCCATAGATCCCATGTAACAGTCAGTCTTTGGCAGGTCTAAGTGGTACTTCGAAGCTCCTCCTGGAAAGTCCGGGCCCTGGCGGCCCTGCGGATCCAGGGGTGAAAAAGCGAACGGATTCGGTGCGGTTCCAATGACCTTTTCACACCTGGTAACCACTGCTACGCAGGGCAGTTTCCATGGAAAAATCCGGTTGAAACTAGTTGAAACCATTGGATTTGGTCGGCTTCGAAGGGCCAAAGTTTGAGATATCCCTGCATATTTTTTTAGATGTTGAAGTTGAAGTTACTGGAATCGTCGCTGAAGAGACTCTGCAAAGCCACAATGTCTTTGATGCCAGATTCATACATTCACTCCATTTTGCCCAGTCTGAGGTTCTACTTGCCAGAATTAGCAGCTGCATACAACGGGACCTCAATCCAAACTAAGAGACTTAGAGTGTGTCAGACCATGGCGTAGGTTGTTGTGTATGCGTTGACACAACAGTGGCTTGCCAGTTGCGGGTTGACCACATTGACATACTATGAATACACAATGCGAGTTTCGTTGCGAGTTACTGGCATTTTGATCAGGTAATAGAAAGGACTTGCGAGCTCAGAGATGTCCATCCTGCATAGGCGTTTTTTAGCCATGTCTGAAAGCATTGCAGGACTCTGAAATTCACCATCGCCAGCAACTATGGCGATTTTGATCACCTGCAGGGAGTCCAAGATATCCACAGTTGTGCGTTTGGGATGATGGGATGATGGGTCCGCAACGAGGAACAATCCCTTGGACTTCATTACGTTAGAATGTGCTTCGTGCAACAGTGCACGCGGTTTACGCTTGGTGCGCTATGCCGTGTGGGCACCCAGATTTCCGGAGGTTGGATAGTTGGATACAAAAAACAAATTACAAACTCTATACTCGTAGATCTATATAGCTATATAGCATTATATAGCTATATAGCTGCTATATATTTGAAGCTAGCTGCTTTTGGAGTTTGGTCCTTTCCAGTTCTCAGACCGGAAGAAGCGGCCGTAGTTTCCCAGGACAATGGCTTGGAATGGAAAGGCCAAGAAAAAGTGATGCAGGCGCAACAGGAATTCAATTGCAACCAAGGTTTGGGATCACACATGGATAAAATGGGTTTGTCTGAAAATAGGGTATATTCCCAATGAAATAGCCATTTAATAGGGATAATGATCAGCAAAACCATTGGGTTTAGGGGTACACTATTTTCAGACACACCCAAATATTATATTATCGCTAGGGGGCTGACGTTTGCCCGAAATCCACGGAATTCCATGCGGCACTGCAATCTGCTGTGTTGTTTCCGCGCGTGTCTTTTGCACACTGCGAGCATGCAAAATATATTGATATTACCTGCGTCTCATGGCATTTTTGCGCTTACCTAAGACGGTGCCAAAATCACCTTTTGAAGCGTATCTTAAAGATATCCTCCGTAATTTGCAGTGTTTCGAGCCGTTAACTGAGACCTCAACGAACCGCAAGACTTTGAAAGAACACCGAAATAACCTATATATAACCCTAAATAAACCCTAAACAAACCCTAAACCAACCCTAAACCAATACTTAATAACCCTAAATAGACCCTAAAACAACCGTGAGCAAACCATAAAACAAGCCTACTTAACTAAACAAACCCTACATAAACCCTAAACAAACCCCAAAAACATTTTGCCCACCCCTAAGCAAACCCTAAAGCAATCTGAAATATATCCTGAACAAATCACAAAGTGACTAAACCCCCAATGAAACTTTGAAAACGTCCGCCCCGGAGGGTATATTATATTATATTGTATTATATTATATTATATTTATATTATATTATATTATATTATAGTATATTATATTATATTATATGCTATATGATATAATATAATGTATATATATATATATCATATAGCATATATATATATATATATCATATATATATATTATATGCTATATGATATATATAATATGAAAATATATGAAATGATATCATACATCATGGCAGTCATGGTATACATTTGAGGAGCCATTTTTCGAGGTGGACAAAAAAGGCTGAGATTTGTCCAACTCCACAGCTGCCCCTTTTCGCACAGGTCACTCTAGCAGCTGGAAATCATTGGTGGCGAGATCCCATGAATTCAGTAGCTTGGCAGATTCAGCGAGTTAGATGCCATGGATGAAAACAGGCAGACATTGTTTGCATAAGAGATTCACACCATTTCACACCATTTCAGTGTGTCCAAAAGCTTGAGACCTAGAAGACCAGATTGCACGCTGAAGTTTCAAACCATTTTCAAAATCTAGCCATGTCTAGCCCTAGTTACAAGTGGATGCTTGGATGCTTGGGTATGAAGACGCTACATCCTACACAAGCAAAGCTAAAGTCCACAGATTTGGGGTGGCCGTCATTCGAGGGACTGCAGTGGCATTGACTCAGAATACTTGAGACCAAAAAGACTTGATAGTTGAAATATGTTGAAATAAAATCAGAGATGAGATGCATAACTTAGACATGACCATTACATATTTCCAGTGGTATGAGCCATGACCGAAATCACCAAATGCAGGCGTTGCCTTTTACAGATGCCACGGAATGTGAGATGGCAGCAGCAAGCACCTTAACGGGGCCGATGGCTGTAGCAGAACCATTGCAGATGGATAGACAGGAGTTGGTGAATGTCCCATGTTGGGGATGTTGAACCTTACCTTCAATATTGGTGATTTGGGGATGTTCCAATCTATGGATGACATTTCGATGGAACATTTTGGAAACTCCTGATAAATGACAGTAGTGTCCTCTATTGTTCGTTTGGTAGAAGTTTCTGGTGCTCTGGATTCATGAATGTTTTCTCATGAATCATGCATCTTTCCCATACCCTATCAGTGTATGTTAATTTCACCAACAACAAATTTCCCCCAAATCAACCCATTCACAGAGGTAAATGTGTGTATGGTGGTGTTGATCCTTGAAAAGGCCCCCCTTTTATTGGTGAAGGCAGCAAAGGCACCCCCAAGGTTGACCATATGGGTATGGGTCAGAATTCTATACCCCCCCAAAAAAATGATTAGATGGATAAATTCATATAAAATCTAATGTAGCCCCCCTAAAATGGAAGGATGATTCACGAAGAAATTGTTTTTTTCGCCAGTGTTTGAGCCATGGCTGCAGGTGCTCCAAGGCTTAACCCGTGTGGCCATCCTTGGAGACTTCACACGTGCTGGTGAGGGAGTGGCGGTGGATGATATCTCGGTTCCTTCGGCGCAGTTGGGAAAAGTCATGGGAAAATGAGCAATTTCGCAAGCTTTTGTGACTGGATTATAATTTAGAAATAGTTATAATATGTTATAATAACTATCATGTTCTACCAGGGTATGGTAAGCCTTGCCACCGTGAGGTATTCCCCATTTTAGTGGTTTCAATTTCTTCATGTTCAACCATGGGAATGGGATGATCCCCCATCGCTTTCCTATTTTTCAAGGGGGCTGAAACCCCCAAGCGTTCTTATACGGCTTGGAATGAAGATGTCCTCTGGTAATCAAAACATGGCATGCTGGACAATTGCGCATTTTATAGATCTGTGTCCCATAGTTACCATAGCTTCCCCATTTCAATGTCCAGCTTGCATTGTTTGCCCTGGGTAGAATCACCACTGGAGTTGACGCTGAGATCTCCACAGCAACTGCGCAACCCAGCTTTCCTCTCGCTTGCCAACAGGCGTGAAATGGGAATGGATCAAAACCTATGAAATAAGTTGACATAACATGAAACTAACACATTTGGGATGAACATCCATTTACCAGCTATTTTGGGTGAACAGAAGACCGGGCCTTTGACCCATACCTAAATGACTCCAAGTTTAGAGTGCTACTAGAAGAAGTCATGAAATTCATCAGACATACTTGACATAGATTTTCATACAGACTGGGTAGCCCTCATCAAAGGGTCAAACATTTTCTGGATTGTATCCAGAGTGTAACACGCCAACAGAGGCTGACAGACAAAACAAACCATCCTTGATCATTATCTATTGGCCTTGTGCTGAAATGGTGTCGTTCCTCAAACTTATCGCATCTTGTCGCAGGGATGCCTTTGCGCTCATGACCAAAGACAGAGGCGGATCTCTTGTTGCGGAAGTGATCCTAGTGCCGGAGCCTTATGAAACAGCTACAGCACTCATTGGGGCGCTGTTTGTCCTAAGAGTAATTGGTGACTAACTTGTGACCCATTGATGGTTGTTGATCGTTTCAAACGTTGCGGTATTTTTCTCCCCTGGGATGATAATCCCAGAGATTCCAATAGCAACAGCACTGCAAAAGCGACCCACAACGTGATGTCAGACCTGTATTTTTGCATATTTGCATGACATCTTTCTGACTGAGGTATACTATCCTTTCTGATGCCCGACCTCCGACGTACCGACGTCACAAAATTGGCCTTTTGTGCTCTGGAGCATCAAAGCGAGTCCCTGACGGCACCTTTGACTAAGCTTCTTGAAGGTAGCTCTTGTGTAACAGGTCATCCTATTTGTACTTTTGATATTTCCGCTCATTGCATACACCCACACCATGCGGACCTTGATTTGATTACAACTCACCACTCGACTCGATAGAAACAAACAGCATGGTTTGGCCTGTTGAGGGTTGTTTTGGTTGCACCATTGAGCAAATAAGGTCATTTCGTTTCACACAATATGTAAATAGATAAATATGTGGAAAAAATACATGTATATGAGAAAATTGGTGAATAATTTCAATAATAAAGATTGACTTATGCAAAGTTGTGTATAAAATATACACAATCAAAAACAAATATTGATCATTTTTCACCTTATCCAACCCGTCAACCCGACTGCACATTATGTACAACACTTTTACAAAAGAACTCAGTACAAGAGTCTGTTGTAGATTGTGGAGTATGGAAAGGGGCTGAGGCTGTAGAATGTGAAGTTCAAGGTGTAGAGTAGAAAGAATGAAGTGGGGAGTGTAGTGTGGAGTGTGAACTCTAGAGTATAGGGTGAATCGCGGAGTGACACTGTAATGTAAAATGTTGAGTGGAGACACTAGCGTGGAGTGGGAGTGCAAAAAGTAAAATGCGGAACAAAACACGGAATATAAAAATTTATTCGTAGAAAATAACATATGAAATAATAATATAAAATGTCATATATTAGATTTAAAATTATTCTTATTAATATATCTTAATATTAATATATATTAATTATATAATTAATTGATATATTAATTTAGTTAATATTATAAAATAAAATGAATATTAATATACACAATTATTTTATCTTATGTGTCTTATAATTAAAACAATATATATATATATTATAAAATAAAATTATTAGAATAATAATTAAAAATATTGAAATTAAAATATTATATATTTAAAAAAATATAAATAATATAAATTTGGAATAATTAAATTAAAATATTTATTAAATTATCTATAATTATTTATTTTATTTTATGTATTTTATATTTATATAAATTTGATTTTTAGATTTATTTATTGTTCTTAAAAATTATTTTAAATATATCTAATATTGATTTGGTAATTATTTAATTATTTATTGATTGATAAGGAGATTATGGATTTTATGAAAAAAATAAAAGATAAAAATTGAAATTAATATATTTTAATATATGTTGATAATTTGATGAATTTTATTTTAAATTTTTATTATTATTTGATAATATTATTTTTTAATATTTTTTGTTATTGATGGTATTATTTTTTTATTGAAATAGGATGTATGATTTTATTTGATTATAAATTATTTTGATTATATATTATATTTGAGATTAAATAAATAATATGGAAAAAAATAATTAAGAAAATTATAATTTTTTTATATGAAAAAAAAAAAAAAACGAAAATTTTCTTAAAATTGATCTGGAAAATTATTTAATTAATATTGGATTTTGATTAATATAGGACCCCTTTTATCTTAAATTAATTTAGTATATTTTATAATTCGTAATTTTTTTGGATATTTTTTTTATAAATATTAATATATTTAATTTAAATAATAATTTTTATTAAAATTAAATTAAATTATATTTAATTAATTTTAATTTATATTTAATTAAAATTAAATTATATTTAATTAATTTTAATGTATTTTTAATAAATATTAATTTATTTTTAATAAAATAAATAAATTATAATTAATTTATTTTGGTAATTTTTATATTTTGAATATTTAATATAAATATTTTTTAAAATATTTTAAAAATTACATAATTTCTTATTATATTTAAAAATTAATATAATAAAATATTATTTATATAATTATATTATTAAATATTTTATTTATTTATAAAATATCCCTTAAAAAATTATTTAAATTATTTTATTTCGAGTGATCCCTACCATGACATTTTAAAACAGCTTGTTGACACCACTTTTGTCTGAAGCTTTTGTCACGGGATTTTTGCCCAACTAACTATCCCAATCATTTGTTTTACCTGGCAGGTCATTGTATAGGTTAGACTATCAAACAGGATATAAACATGTCAGTGGGTCATGTGAAGTAAACTCCAGAGCTCTCAACAGGTTCGTTTAAACATGACCAAACAAGCCAGTGGACCACCTGAGCCAAACAAACAAACATGCCCAAACATGTCAGCATGCCGCCTGTCAAACATGTTTGTACAAACATGACTGAACCAAGCCAGTGGACCCCTGAACCAAAGTCAAAGGCTCGCAAGCTCACGTCTAAACTCAACAAAACCATGCCAGTGTTACTTCATCAGATCGCTGCAGCTGCAACTCTCTATTTCTCCACCAGACGTCTTCAATCAAAACCGATTAGGTCCCACAGGTAGAGCAACGTGTCAGGCCTATGCCTCTCCCGGACCTCTTCAGTCAAAACCGATTAGGTCCCACTGGCAGAACACTGTGTCAGGATGCTTGCAATGCATCATAGACAGGCCAGGACTGCAGCCGCTCCAGCGTCGAAGCAGCTTTGGCTTCCAACTTGTCAGTCAGTTCTCGCAAGTAGGTATAGGAGGGCCTTTGCGTAAAAGCTCCTCCACTTGCTCCGTGAACCCCAGCAAGATGAGATTCTTCAGTTTGCGGGCACGCGTCAGCATGACATAGATGGCTAGCCACCAGTCCGCATCCTCTAGGCCACCCACCTCCGTCCAAAGTCAAGCCTTGCGCACTGTAAGCAGTGCGCAGCATGCCATGCAAAAGCGGAAACTGCCAGCGAATCACTTCAATTTTCTCCGTTTCCTCGCCTAGTTTCAAATCAATTTTGAATTCTGCATGTACCAATTCCACAAAGAACAATGTTTTTGTGTCAGTTGTGTGATCGACCACATTCTGAAATTTTTCTTCCCACATCTGCAACAGAGCATCTTCCATGGGCGAATTCTTTCCTTTAAGTAATTTCACCCAGATACCTTTGGCCATGTAGTCCGGAAAAAAATGACAGAATCCAGGTTCACGACGGTCCAGGTGCTTCTGATCTTCATGGTGCAAATCCTTTTTCACTACCACTGCCAGTTTGTCTTTAACCAATCCAAGGTGTGGAGCCAAGACATCCACCAGTCGCACAACCATGTTCTCGTGCACCAGTAGCATGCCTTGCAATTTGCCAGTGCGATGCGGGTTTGGAACAGTGAGCAGCTGATGCGTCAGCTGCTTGTCTATGGTTTTATTTTTTCTGGAATGCCTTTGGTCGGCAGCTTACAAACAAAATAACGGCATATCCAGGTCTTCCGCATCTCGATTTGCCCGTTCCACCATGTTGCGAGCAATATTCTCCCAATACATGCCAATGACGTGACCGTGCTTGAACAAGTCTGTGGTTAGTTCTTTCTTGCAATTTTCGATTTTGCGAGTGCGCAGCTGAGCCAAGTGATTCTCGGACAAGGGAGCAGCAGGCGTGCACGTGCGCATGGCTGTTGTGATTTCTGGCAGGTGAGCATCCAGAAACCGCTTCGACTTCTTCAAATGAATCACTGTATCAATGGTCATCAATGCCGCCTGGGCAGCATGGTGTTCTGTCTGCACTCTGTGCGGCATTTTGCGGATCAGCTCTTCGAGATTGTCAGCTAAGGAGATCTCGTTGGCAGGCTTGATCTGCAAAAAATCACCTGCAATCAGCAAAATTGGTATGTGTCCCATGAGCTCTCCTGGGTGGAAATAGCTGGCTGGATCAAGGCCTTCATCTTGACGGGCGCGCATGCTGCGGTAAAGCATCATGTTTTCCATTGCAGCTGGCACCAAATTGATTTCATCTTGAATGATTAAAATTTTCGGCTGCCAGCGTTGTTTCATCTCTTGCTCTTTTGTTTTCAAGGCCAAATGCTTGTTGCGCAAATTGGCTACACGATACGAGCAAGCAGTATGACATGTTCGCGCCCGATAGACATCATTGGAAATGGCATCCGATTGGGCATGGCTGAAGGTGGCAATCATGTATCGCTCTTCTTCTCCGGGCCTGGCTGGAAAAAAGTGACAAAAAACACCCAGCATGAGCTCCAAAATGATTGTCGTCTTGCCAGTGCCACCGGCGCCAATCAAAAGGCATGCGTGCTGCGCGCGTTTTCGCAAAGGTATTTTGTTCTCTTCTTCCTGTAAAGCGACATCCATTGCCTCACCAAACCATCTGCAAGTAGATAATTGCTCCGGCGCCAGCTTGAATCCAGCGGCAGACTTTTCAAACGCAGCAACCTTCCGCGCCATCGCTGCAGATGGCTTGCTAAAGGTGCGCCATTCTGCTTCTGGCATCGCGACATCACTGTTTGCAGCCAACTCTCCTGCGCCCTCTGCGCAGTCGCTCGTAGCAGCCCGGTCCGCCGACAAGCGGCTGAGGCCCATGCTATCATTTGTCATGGCAGCGCGCTGAGCATCCAGTAGCGGCTGCGTGATCATGGGCACTTTCTCTTTCAACCTCAGTTGTTCTGCTCGTGGATTCACTGCAGTGCCACTCGCGCGCTTATAGGCCGCAGTTCTATGCAACGCTTCTTCATCCCCTGTCAAGGGCAAAAGGCCCACAGAAATCATATCGCGCACAAACTTGGTTTGCTTTTGACGATGAAAGGTCATGGCTTGCGAACGCTGCGATGAAGTCAGTGGATGATGTACTTTTAAAGGTGTATCTCCAGCCTTGAGTCGAACCTCCCCATCGATGTCTGGATCCAAAGCATCTTCGAAAGCTGGTTCAAAGGATTCGCCAGTATCTCCAGTCCCGTGGCCTTCACGCACTAATCCTGGATCTTCTTTTGCATCTGCGTCCAAAGCATACGACTTGGTTTTGGGTGCTACCTTAGCACGTCCGTAGGCATCTAAGTTCTTGATTACTCTTTTTGTCAAGTAGCAAACATACTCTTGGACAGTCAAACGGTTCTGCAACTTTGCACTCGCATCGCAACCCAGTTTGTTCGTGCAATCCTTGTCCAATGGAATCAAGTATTTCTCTTGAGCCAATTCTTTTTGCAACTGGAATACTTCCAAGCACTCCCACAAAGTAGGTATTTCCATCCGTGCTTTAATTT